GCCATTAGATACACTTAGCAATGCACACTGACACATGTTAAGGATTGACAATGTAAATATACCTGTCATATGTTCTTTGCCTAACTGTTTCTGTAACTCATGTGTCACGGGACAGCCTGACTGCCCCTTTAAAAGACCTGGCCGGGTTTGAATTCACAGCTCCAGCATCCCAGTCAGGTTCTCTGCTGTGCTGTCCACCATGGGGCTTCATTTTCTGTTTGCATTTTTCTGCTTCCTGACCAGCTGCACCTAATTAGCAGGCTGTAAAAGTCAGCCCTGCCTGAAACCTAGGATCTGGTCATTTTGCCTGTTTGGTGTTTCCTGACGCATCTTTGCTTCACTACTACTTCTGCTTCTCGCATCTGTATTACCCCTTTATCTGTACTGTGTTTTTGGATTCTGTCTCCTCCTTGTACCATCTCCTGCAACTGGGCTCCAACTCCTTGTAAACTGTTCCATAAGTCCCCAGGTGACTGTTACATCATGACAGGTCACATGAGCATTCCTCAGTGCATTTATTCTGACTCTGAATTTATTTTGTTTGTAACAAAGAGATGTTATACTAATAAAAAATCTTTAAAACAACAAAAAAAAAGCATGAGAAAAATAAGAAACCCTCATAAAAGGTTCCCCCATTTCATGCTGTAACTCAAGGTGTTTTGTCATGACACCAAGTTAGAAATCGAGAGTCCTGATTCTCATCGTAGGATTCAACCTATGCCCCATTGGGGCTGCACAGAGCCCTGCCTTGGATGTCCCTGAAGCCCTCTTGTGTGAAGCTGCGTTGGGGTGCAGTGATTGGGCAGGTTTGTTTCGGATCGGCGAGCTGGACCATACAACTGGAGTAGGGTTGCCCCCGATATTTGGGGCGTTTGAGGAGATCCAGCTCTGGATTGCGATGGTTCCCTTTGTTTTGCTGCTTTGCGTGGGAGTGATAGGTGCTTTTTTCTCCGCCACCATGTTGTGACTTTACTCACCGCTGGAGCTGTGGGCCTTTGCTGCGGATTAGGAGGTGGCTGTCGAGGTGAGTGTTGTAGGGCACGCTGGTGTACCCTGTGCTCAAGGTTTTGCCATAATTTGTTGAACATTCTGTCTAGTTTGGACAAGAGGTCCTGATTTTCCTCATGGTTGTCTGGAATCCGTGTGGCCTCCGCCATGTTTGGTAGGTCTCTTGATTTTCAAGCAATCTTCACGATTTTACCCGTTATGCCAGGAAAGCCTCCCAGGGGTGGACTGGGATCACCCCCCACTGGCCCAAGGGGGTGGGGGTGGGTAGCAGGGCACCTATTTGAAGCAGACGGTCACTGGGCAGCTCTGGAGTGAGAGATCGGCCGCCTCTCCCGCTGGCTGTTGTCCATACACCGGACACTTTACTGGTTCACCAGTAGGTCGCCTGGTTTCCAATTGGAGCTGTATGGAGTTGAGAAATCCCCTAACAGCCAAGATTAGTGAGGAGCTCGATTAAGGCACATCTTCCATCCATGAAAGTCAGACCCTGCCCCCTAGAGATGCAGCTTTTTGCCCACTATCGTACTTGTGGACATGTGGCTAGATTATAATCACACTTTGTATCCACTAGACAGACTTTGTATCCATTGTATTTAGTTACTTGTAGCACGCCTGCTCCCTAGAAGAAACTTGTCAGTACCTATTGATTCCATTATACTGCTTTAGAGCAAAGTATCGAGTTACTGGGAGCATCATGCAAACATTTGTTGTCTATTGATTTACTTTAAATACTGTGTATTATATATTCTTATATGTCTCAGTCTGGATATTTTTTTTTTTTTTTTAATTCTTTATTTTTCGTGCAGTGTATTACAAACTGGTCTGCAATGCCACGACAGCAAAGCAAACCGATATAGTCAAAACAAGTGTCTAAAGTCATGGCATACAAGAGCAATGCACATTTTTGTATAACATGGTGAATTATAACAAGAAAAACTTTATGTAAGTAATAGACGGATGTTCGAGCTTGCGGTTAGGTAGTGGGAGAGTCAAGGTGGTTCATAAGTATGTCAACTTTAACATAATGCTTAGTACAGAGTACACCATCATCGTCTATTTGGATACACTGGTTTTTACTAGCATTTAGGGTGGGTACATGGTTTATGTTCTTAATATGATGTGTGCACGTGTTTAGTTAGAAACACGTTCGATGGTCACCAGCTGCACATAATGTATGAGGTGTTGCTGTGGAGTTAATACATATATAGGTTTGAGTATTTGATGCTATAGGGTATTGCGGTTGTAACAGATGCTTAAACATTTATTTCTACATGAGAGACAAGGCAGGAGCCCAGCGGTGTAGTGTAGCTCTGACTGCTGCCTCTTCAGACAGCTTACTGTTCTGCATGTTCACTCATGTGGCAGTTCAGCCGAACCCTGTCGCCCCCAAAGGCTTGTGGTGTGTGGCAGAGTATAAGCTTGGGTCTGCCTTAATGTGGCAGGATTAGGGACGCCAGATTTGTATGGGGACGTGCAGCCTTAGATGGCCGTCCCGGGAGTCTCTACTTTGGTGTCAATTGTGGCAGTCCTTACTAGAGTTGAAGCCAGTCTGGCGGCTGTTCAGTTAAAGGTGGTGTTACGGCTCCCCCGGTAGGAAAGGGGTTACAGCCGTATTGGACGTTCCCTTCCCGAATGCAGAGGTAGCCACTGAGCGATCCGAACTGCCCAACAGCAATCACACGAACCAGTTAGTCTCCCAAACAGCCGAACAGCAATCGCATGCACCAGTTAGTCTCCCAAACAGCCGAACAAGCGTAATCCATACAAATAATCTCTCCAATGACGAGACAAAGCTCCGTATTGAGGGTCAACAGGAATCTGGTTTATTGAGGGCTACCTCCAGGTATTTATCCAGGTCTCCCACCTGGTGGATACTCCCCTAGGGGACCAAATGGGAGACTGTGACAAGGACATTACATTGACCAATCAGAGTGTTACACATGTAGCCATGCCCCTTTAATTACCCAAGACCATCTGCTCTGCTATGTGGCACTCACCTCCGGATGAAAAGAAATGGGTGGAAATTGAGTCCCTCATGGTTAGATCTGACATCCCCCAGTTCACGAGGGAACAATAGGGAACACAGACCTTTGATCAAGGTGACCTGCCCAGCAATACTCAACTCACTACGTATATGGGATGTAACAAACGTTAAATATGGCCTGGCTTCTTCACCTTCCCCATTAATGTCACTATTCCGCAACAGAGCATTCCCTCCAGGTATGGCAGCGAGGGAGTTTCGTAATATCGAAAGGGTAGGCCTCCAGAGAATATGTCACCTGTTTCAGGGAGGTGTAGTGGTACATTTTGATGACCTTAAGCAAAACAATCACTTCACACCCTTGGATTTTTTCAGATATGTGCAGCTTAGAGATTTTGCTAGTCGACCTCATATTAAAGCAGCGGCCAGCGGGACACTGACCTTCTATGACAGATTATGCGCGGAGGGGACGGCACCCAAGGGATTGATAACGTTGCTGTATGCCCACCTCTGCTCCGAAAACACCGAATGGGGTAGACTGACTTACACCGACCAGTGGGAAAAAGACATAGGCGAGGTTCTAGAGGGTCTTGAATGGCAGGAAATCTGGGAAGCAAACAAAAATACATCAATGTGCGTGACACTACAGAAACAGTCATGGAAAACCATGTTTAGGTGGTACACCACACCAGTGAAGCTATTTAGAATGCACAAAACTGACACAGATGTCTGCTGGAGGGGCGGTGGAGCTAGAGGAACATACTTACATATGTGGTGGGAATGCCCAATTATAATCAGATTCTGGAAATTGGTGGAGAACTTAATGAAACAGATCTTTGATAGCTCACCTGCCCTAGACCCCTGGGTATACCTGTTAAATAGATCACTTGAGGGATGGACCAGGTAAGAGCAGAAACTACAGCACAAGATCACCTTAAGCGCGCGCAGAGCAACAGCAACATCGTGGCTGTCCCCAGAGGGCCCGACTTTCTCGGAAGTAATCTTTAGGATCAAGGATAGTAAATTAATAGATGACCTGACGGCTAGGGTAAAAGGGACCACGTTAGCATTCCACAGAATATGGGAACCCTGGGATAACAGCCCAATAGGAGCGGGAAGAGAATAAGTGGTGAACCTTATGGGGCCTGAAGGACAGTGGAGGTATGACAGATAGTCACCCATATCAGAGACCACCGGACAGAAGTGCATGTACACACGGAAAGTGCCCGCCGTCCCCTTCATCCGCCCCCGTTCGTATACCCCCTCGTCTCTTTCTATATGTCTATTTTCTCTATCTCTCCTTTCTTCTTCTTTCACTATTATTCCCTGCTTTACATGGGAATAGGCATACGTTAGGTCTGAATGGCCGAACTAAAGGGCTGAATAAGCATTTGTGACACAGACGGAGAGGCAATGCATACTGTTCAATATTACTAGTACGCTATATCTATCATTAAAAACTCCTTGGCGGACGGTGAAGAACAAGCTGAGTGGGAAAGACCATGTATTATGTAGTCTAATGTATAACAAAGATGGCATGTATGTCATGTACGGTGGGCTTTTGCACAAGCCAGTATGCAAAATTTATGTCTACTGTTTCTGCCAAGATGAAAAAATAAAGAATTAAAAAAAAAATGTTTTTGTAACCATGGGTGTAGGAAGTAGGGAGACAACCCCACACCCAGAAGCACTAATGGAGAGGATGAGAGGGTGAGATTCTTCATGTCTTGGTGGTGTACAATCAAATGTTTTACTGATTGAGAAAGATGACATAACCCAAACATATTTTAAAAGAAATGGTTATCTTCATCTGCATCAAAGTAGCAACACCAGTAGCAGCATCTGCTGAAGAATCATTAAACGGTCAGGACCACCAGTAAGAAATATGCAGGTGTTGGAACTTATTTGCAAGAGTCGATTTGCTACTTGGAAATCTATGATAATGTGTTATGTGTAGGTGTTAGGTGTTTGTAGTGATGGACTGTTCACTGTCTGCACTCCTTTGGTGTAGCTCAGGGGCCAGCAGGTGCCACCATTTCTAGCATCATTGAAGGTGTGCCAGTGCCCGCTACAATGGAGGATGTGATTCTGATAATTGCCTGAAGGTGTGTAGTGGTATTGCCTGAGAGGTAAAAAAAAAGGTGTGCGTGTTGCTAATTGCCCACTTATTCATTTATTTATTTTTAATTTTTTTTTTAATATCAAGAGAGGACAATCCCTAGTGCGTCCTGCACAAACTGCATAGTGTATTACAGTACCATGCCTACACTCTACAGATACAATGGCCCAGCCAGACGGTCTTAATCTAATCCAGTTAGCCAACAGTAAACCACAAACAATAATACACTAAAGAGGCAGGCAAATTCATTCACTCCCTCAAAAATACATATAAATTTAAAATAACCCACAAAATGCTAAAAAACAGACACTTGCAGAATAGAATAGTCTTGTGCACAGCAACAAATGTTGTTCAACCAAACCGGTTCATCTGTATAAATCAAAATGATGTGAAAATGAGCCTACATGGGGTTACAATGAGCAGCAGTTGTTGTCCAGTTGCTAGCAAAATACCGGAGGGCTGGGGGGAGCCTCTAGCTGATCGCATAGGCATCACGTGGGGCAGAAATGAAATAATGGGTGGGGGCAACAGGAATGACAGAGACCTTTCCTGCCCCAATTATTTATTTTTCTGTCCCTACCTGGAGACTACATGTGGGGGCACAGGGGAGATCTTTCGCTCATATTTTTTAGCAATTGTGCAGCAATAGCTGTCCTCTCACTAGATTTCATTACAGGTAAGAATAAAAAAACAGTTTACCTCTTTACAATGGGTGGCACTATGGCACTCCTGGCACTGCTCCCAGTGGCGTACATACAGGGGTCGCAGCTGTGACCGGGCCCATCACTCCAGGGGGCCCAGCCACCCTGCGGACGCCTGAAACCAGGTGCACACCGCCATGTGTTGCGGCCCCGGCCCGCACGATAAAACCGCCTTAGGCCGCACAAGAAGGGGCCCATTGGGTGGCCCATGCTGTTAGGGCCACCCGATGGCTATGGATTTCCAGGGCGCCCGGTCAGTGCTGTGGCGCTTTAACAGCGCGACTGGGCCCCCTGAGATGACATCAGCCCCGGTCACTCCTCCCTGCTTTCAGACAGAGACGCGGTGGAGGAAGAGAAGAGGGAGTCAAAATGGGAACTCTGACTCCCATCAGGCTGAGCCACCACTGGACCCCAGGGTAATCACCCTCCTGCATCTAAAAGTTAGGAAACAGGTGGGTGACAAAAATGTTTTGTATATGTGTGTGTGTGTGTGTGTGTATGTTTGTGTGTGTATGAATGTGTGTGTTTGTATGTGTGTGTCTGTATATGTGTCTCTGTGTGTTTGTATGTATGTGTGCTTGTATGTGTGTTTGTATGTGTATGTATGTGTTTGTATGTGTGTGTCTGTATATATGTGTCTCTCTGTGTGTGTTTGTATGTATGTGTCTGTATGTATGTGTGTTTCTATGTGTGTGTACAGTGGCGTACATACAGGGATCGAAGTTGCAACCAGGCCCGTCACTCCAGGGGGCCTGGCCGCCCTCCGAACCCCTGAGACTGGGTGCCCGCCGCCATGTATTGCGGCCCGGCCCGTGCGGTTTAGCCACTGGAGGGGGGCACGGATCAGTTTTTGCACCGGGGCCCCATGGATCGTGTGTACGCCACTGGCTGCTACAATCTAATGTATCCAGTTCTGCCTCGCGTGGAATTGTCTGTGGATTTTTGGATGACTCAACTTGCAAATATTTTAAATAATATATGCAATACATTATTAAAACGGCATACAGTGCATTATTGAAATGACTGTATTAAGAAATTCACATGAAACCTACTGCAGCATAACCTCCTAATCGCCCCTTAAAATCGTAACATGGCAGACCTGAAAATGTGTAATAACCCTTATATTTTTTGCTCTACATATAAGTATTTAAATTAAAAATAATAGGGGGCAGATTTATTGTCTGGTCTGATGTATCGGACCTAGTTTCTAAAAGACTGTGTGTTTGGGAACAGCAAAGGAGCAATATATCTGTTTTAACGAGGTACTTTTTATAAAAATGGTGGCCTGTATTTCATAAATACTGTCTAATGTTATGCATTTTTCATAGACATCTTTTATTTTCCCTTTAAAATAATAAGTCAGTTATATGGTATTTATATTATGGACATAAAAAATAAAAGTTTACGTTTACAATAAAAATTGGAAGAAGCAAACTGCTCAGTATTTCTTTTAATAGAACTTTGACATGTCTTGCTTTAGATGTTGAGTCTTCCATAAATCTGGAGACAATTCCAAGCAAAGTAGAACTGGATACATTAGATGGTATTAGCAAATAAGAACCAATTGGGCCATTTAACCTAATTTCATGTATTCCTTGGGGCATTCTGCACATCATAGGAAGAGAATAACATTTTGAACTTTTATACATCAATAGAACAAGCTAAAGAATTGATCAAATCTTGTGATTTGTTTTATCACTGAGGGTTCAGCTGTATGGTGACCTGGCAAACCACCGATGAGTTAAAGGGTCATTCCACATATGAAAACCACTTCATGTCAATTAAATTTTTATGAAGTCCAGAATCCACTGGCACCTTCCACCTTCAAGTATTAAACCATTTGTGAATGGTTTAAGATTTAAGAGGAATCCCCAGTTGCCGGTACAGCTCACCTCTGACTACCCGCAAGTGCAGAAACTTTTTCATGAGTAGCAGTGATAGGCAGGGATATCATAGATCCACTAATTTAACCCACCATACTCACTGTTAAGCAAGTTTAAAACAATTAGCATAGCCATAGGTGGGATGAATTAAACAGGGGGATAGATACGGACATTTTGTTTATAAGAAGATAGCGTAAATATATTTTACAATCTGTAGACCTCATAATTCCCTGCGCTGTTCCAAAAATAGCAAGGGAGCACAAAAGTTTATTTGAGAATCAACTGACTGGCAACGTCATCTGTTATCTTGACAGGTACCGCAATAAAACTTAAAATACACTGCTTACAAGCATGCACCCTCGGATACACCCCCATGTGACAGCCAAGGAGATAGATGATAAAAATTACAGGTGATTAATAACTAACCTCCCAGGCATAGGGATCCTCTAGCTCTCATAATATTTAGATTTGACCTGAGTAATGTTTGTATTTTCCCCCAAAATTACCACTTTTTTCTCCTACTAACCCTCACACCATCACTATTTCTAGGTGTTTAATTATTATTATTATTGCCATTTATATAGCGCCAACAATTACAAGAAAACTTACAGGAACGATAGGTTGAAGAGGATCCTGCTCAAACAAGCTTGCAGTCGATAATTAATGATTAGAGAATGTCCAAATTGTCATCATTTGTATAAAAATTGGACATTTTCAGTCTTTGGTTTTTTTAATCAGTTGTCTTTTTGCCCCAAGTAAATTTAGAATGCTTTTAAATACTTGTGATAAATCTCTGAATATTTCACCAAATGTTTTAAGTAAATTACCATACTGCAAATTCAGGAACTTTTCTCAAATGTTACATTTCAGTTTTGGAAATAACCTCCACTCATTCTAAAAAGAAATTCTTTGCAATCCCAAATAAAATATATTTCAGACAGATAGGGAATATGTTGGTGCTAATTAAATGACAAAAATAATAATGGATGGATTTTATTACTTTTAATATACTATTTCAGTAACATTGAAGTGAGTTTCTTAGCAAGCTGCTGCCCAGTTCATGACCAGCCAAAGTTTAAATCCATAAGTCTTGAAGAATGTGTTTTTAACACTGCTAAAAAAAAATCAAACCGATAGACTCGTTTGCTGCTCGAAGTAATTAATCTGTTTGCTTTTCTCTTTAGAAAGTAATTTGCTGGTGGCTGTGACATTCCGTGTACTGTGAGAGGAGATATCAAAATTCAGAGCATAGCTGTGAGAATGTGAGTCAAATATTGAGAAATGAATCAAAGTGTGAATTGTATACAAGACTTTCAATAAAAACCTTTTGCTTTTTTTTACCTTGCTATTTCATCCAGCATTATAATTTTGGAAATTGTATTTGGCATTTAGTGCTGTTAAAGTCATGTCTTCAAGGGTCAATAAGAGGATGGGTTTATGAGTATACGGTATTTATGTTGTTTGATTATGAAATCATTGGGAACATAGAATTATATATTTTTCTTATACAGAATGTATTAGTGTGTCAAAATCTGGATAGAATATTCTATACTCAGCTGCAGTATTTTTTTCTTAGTTGATTTTGAAGAAAAAACACAATGGCGTTAATATAAACATGTATTCCTAATGCTATAGTGTTCTCCTCATCACTTAGATGAGGGTTAGAGGGTTAAGAAATATTTTTTTGTCACTTTAATTACCCCCGCCACGCCAGTGTCCATGCTGCTGGTTCCCCTTCTTGGCTGAGATCATCAATGTTGATGATCTCAGCCAATCCAATGCTTTCCCACAGAAAGGCAAAACGCAGTGCTGTGACAATCAACATGTCCTCATAGAATCCATGTCCTGCACTGAATCAATGTATTTCTATAGGAAGCATTCAGCAGCACTGTGCAGAGCGTGGAGATGCTGAAAGTAGGTCATTCTAAGATTTCAGTACCTCATCCGGGAAGTCCCTCTGGTTGCTGCACAAGTCCACCTCAAATGTCTGTCACTTGGGCAGCAACCAGAAGAACTTCCTGGATGAGGTCCTAAAATCTTAGAATGGCCTACTTTCAGCATCTTTTTTTTTCTCTGAAAAAGCAGGGTTTACACTGCATACCCTCCAGTGACAATATATATGTCCCAGAACCACTACATTGAGCTGTAGTGGTTCTAGCGACAATAGTGTCCCATAACTATTTGAATCACTAGTCAGTAAGACCGTGTAAAGCATCATTCTTGCTGGTTGTTATTTGTAATGTTTGCAACTGGATGAAGATTTCATATTTAGAATAATAACTTTTGAGATCAGCAGTTTAACAGTTACATAAGAACTGATTTTCTAACATACCATTAGAGATATATAGATAGATATTGTAGAAATGATTGGAAGGTGAACTATCTCCAACTTAATAGGTTAATCACTCGAGTTTACGGAAGAACAATGGGATTAAAAAAAGGTTACTGTAAGCAACAATTTTGTCTGCAGTTGAGAATGGTTCCAATGACACCTATCACACCAAATTGCTCCCCAGGAGGCCCAGCTGCCCTGCGGAACCCTGCGATCGCGGTGCCCAGTCAGCCATGTGATGCAGCACCAGCCAATGTGGTACAACCGCCAGGGCTGCATGTACAGGGATCCATCGGGTGGCCCATGCACCCTGCACCTAAAAGGTAGAAAACAGGAGGGTGATTAAAACATTTTGCATGTGTGTGTGTTTGTGTGTGTGTTTGTGTGTGTGTGTGTCTGTCTGTTTGTCTGCATGTGTGTCTGTATGTTCTGGCTAAGACAAAGTTAGAAAGCATCATATGAGTAGTACTGGCAACCAATAATAGGAAATAGTTTTATTTAGAAGATGTATGTACGAGAACTTGAGTTGAAGTAAGCAGAGGAAAAAGTCAATCAGGCGAGCAATGGTTTTAAGAAGTTGTGTTGAAAATATTTGAAAATTCTATAAACACTTATTATGTTGACCATTTTTTTTCTAGCACCTACCATATAGTCTACACACAAAGTGATTAAATCTTACCTTTAAACCTTTATAATCCCTCACAGGGGGGCTGAACACCTACATTGTAAGGCGAACACTCTAGTGTTACATTAAAAAAACAAAACAGTGTCAGCGCTTAAAGAATCGACCCCTAATTGATGTTATTAGCGTACCACAGTTCCAATATATAAAGAAGAGGTCCAGGGATGTAAATATAAGTAAAAGTACTAAGCAGTCACGTTCCGTACCCTAAAAACATCAATCAGGGGTCGATTGTTTAAGCTGACACTGTTTCTTTTGTAGTTTATATGTGAAATCATTGAGAAGATATTCATGTGTTATAGCTGCTGACTTATTATAATTTATTTTATGTGTTTTACACAAATTCTCGTGTGTATACCATATTTTATTTGTATACTTATTTACATTTTTCTCTCTTTTATATATATTTCTGTTATATAACATTTTCCTTTAAATAGCCTCTGGCCTATACATACTAACATGCATTGTTCTACTCTTGAAAAAATATAATTAGTGCTGTTAGGTCATGCACCCTTTCCTTTTACTTTCCACTGATTGATAAAACGATATACTTGTATTCATGGTGTGTCAATGTGCACAGCCATAAACATTAATTTTTCCAGTTTGTTTATATATTTCTTCAGTATTTTGTATTTCAAGCCTAGTTTTACAGTGAAGCTGAGTCATCTACAAGCCTTCCCCAGACAGCTCTCCTCTGTGAACATATGTAACCTGCTACTGACATGCTGTCAGCCATTTTGCTGTTTATTCATCATCTTAAAATATAATCAAAGAAGAATATTTACTCTAAGAAATAAGAAGAAACTATGTTTTATTGCTACAATTTATTAATGGATGTCTGGACTGTTTTTTGGATTGCAAAAGGAAAGGTTATTTTGAAAGCGTGTCTTGTCAGATGTTGCCAGGGGGGGAAAGGTGAAATGTGTGCTTAAGTTGTGAAAGAGGAAGTCTTATATGTGTTAACTTTTATCATAGACAAGCGATATTTTAGCGAAGTAAGATGCATGACTGTGGTCAAGTCATCTGTTAGAAAGATCATGGGATGCTTAAACTTTTGAACCTTAAATTTGTCAGTTATGCTAGAATTTAGCCAATAGGAAATAAGACCATATTTGGAGTTCTGATTCAAGCTAAACGAAAGGCCGGTTCCGGGTCATATGTATAAAATATGAGGAATTGTAACATGATGTTAGATTGCTTCTTGCCAATCTCCATGAGATATCTCTGTGTATTGTAATGGTCAATTAAACGCTTTTTATTGAACCTGGTAATATTTTTGTCTACTTCCACAGTTGGGGGCTCTTTGTCCGGGATCAGAATACCACAGACACCAGCGGAACACCTGCACCTGTCAACCATTTCGTGGGCACTCAAACAGACCGGTCATATGAAAGGTAAGCCATACCATTTATAAAACATGGCATTAGTGTAATTTTTGAGTGTCCATGAAACAAAGAACGGTGCAGGTAAATGCTAGTCTGTGTGACCTGATTTCTTAGCCTTTTATTGACCATTTGTAACGTTACTATTTATGTTTGTTGTAACATATACTGCAGTATTAGTGTCTATGTCTGAGTGATTCTAGAATCAGTGGTAGCACTGACAGGTAGTCCCCTAGGAAGACTTAAGTGACTAAACTTCGCAGACCCAATAGGGGTTTGGTGGGCCTTCAGAAGTCTAAACGTAGCTCGGTTGGTGAGAGTCTCTTTGATATGATGTATCCCTGTCATGTGATTGTGGCTAAATGTTGAGGTTAGCCACATGAATCTAATCTCCCAAGTCTAAACGTAGCAAAGTGAGATTAGATTATTTTGTTTTAGTGTCTTAATTTCACCCAGTCTAAACGTAGCAAGGTGAAATTAAGTTGTCTTGTATTAATTGGCTAGCCACATTAATCTAATCTCCCAAGTCTAAACGTAGCAAAGCGAGATTAGATTATTTTGTTTTAGTGTCTTAATTTCACCCAGTCTAAACGTAGCAAGGTGAGATTGAGTTGTCTTGTATTAATTGGCTAGCCACATGAATCTAATCTCCCAAGTCTAAACGTAGCAAAGCGAGATTGGATTATTTTGTTTTAGTGTCTTAATTTCACCCAGTCTAAACGTAGCAAGGTGAAATTAAGTTGTCTTGTATTAACTGTTTAAACTCATAGGTTAAACATAGCACTTGAGTAAGATGTATTGTGTTAAAATTGTATAACTGTGTGTATATGGTTTAAAGTTTGATAAACTGTAACATCATTTGAGAAGAGATTTTTGTGTAAACTCCAGTTGTCAGTTAGTATACAAGCTGAAAATTGTGACCTTTCGATCTCTCAAAAGGTGATACAGTGAGTGTATACATTTGGTGTTTCAACGTACAAGTAACAGAAATGGGGTTGAATAATGGCAAGCAGCTTGATCATGGGGATAGTATACCCAGTGATTCCCCAGTTTATTTAATGAAACAGAAATATGGCCCTTCAAGTATTATGTATTCAAAGAAATGGGCAAAGTTAACTAAGAATAATATAAATCCATGGCCAGTGGTGGGGTCATTAGACCCTTGGGTGTTGTTAAGTTTAAGAACAATGTTGTTAAATGAAAAAAGTCTTTCAAAACTGGAATGGTCTGCATATATGTTATGGCATGAGGAAATTGAAAAGAAAAAGCAAGAATGTTCCCCCCAGTCAGGTGCAACAGGAGGGGCACGTAAAGGAGAGGGTACTGGTGTTGCCTGTTTGTATCCCTCACTGTACAATTTAAAAAGAAATGTTAAAAATCCTCCGCCTTATAATGATGATGAGGATTTTTTGATTAATCATGAGATTATGAATCCCTCTTTGGGTCACCTCCCCTCAGCGGATGAATGATGCACCACAGCTTGTACCCCAAAATTTAGCTGGTGCCTCAGCCATGTTGCATTGAGGTGGTAGACCTGAGAGGGATATTAGACTGCCTAAAAGATTTGCTGATCATGCTGTGGTTACTATCAGGTTTATCAGGATGTAGCAATGTGTTGCCTGAGAGTGATGGGAGGGAGGCTATGATTTTACCTATTAGAGAAGTGGGATAGATGGATAATGATGGGAGACCACGGAGGATTTGTCAACCGTGGAGCCCACAAGACATAGCATTTTTATAGGTATCATTTCCTGCCCCCTCTAGATCCAAATGGGTTTGTAAAACATTTAAAATAATGTGTGCCAGCTATTTCCCCACAACATAAGATCTTAATGAGTTAATGGAGACAGTATTAACCCCTGCAGAACATACTAAATGGGTGGCAGGATACAATGAGTCACCTTTCTCATGGCCTGCAGGGGTGGGGGGACAAGCAGTTGCACACATATGGGAAAATTGCCCTGATGAGAGGAGTGATGTTGTCCTTAAGAATTGGTATGCATTCCTCAGCATTAAAGTAAAAACAGTTTTTACCCAGCCTATTGACTATACATAGCATAGTGCAAAAGAAAGGAGAAAACCCCTATGAATATGCGGAAGCAATTAAGGTTTTTGGAAGTTTTGAAGATATCACGGTTGAATCAATTAAGCCATTCATAGTGAATACCTTAGTAAATGGTTTGGATGCTAAAGTAAAAAAAAACAATTGATGTTATCCTTACTGGGATGACGGGATAAATCACTTAATATTGTATTAAGTGCAGCATCAGAAATTTGACAAGCTATTCAAATCAAGGAAAATGCAAAAGCTGAGCACATAATGCTACAAGCTGAACAAATTCCTGTTAGATATTATGCACATCAGCCAAGACAAAACACAGCCAGAAGACCCCCACAGAATAATGTAAGAACATTTATCAAATGTTTCAATTGTGATGGATATGGTCATATAGCAACAGATTGCAAGGAGGTAAAGGGGGCAAGGAAGCAATTAGAAGAAAAAGACAGACTAGATGTAGAGGAAGATTGGGGTCTGAATATGTATTGTTAGTGTACCTGTGACCCAAGGTCCAGAACCTATGGTACATTTGAAAGTAAATGAATTGTATGTGATACTGAGGGAAGAAGAAGTAAGTGATTTTGGTGGGGAGAATGTATATTTAGTGGAAGACCAGCATTGCCATCATTGTTTAATTCTGAATGGTCAAGGCTGGGCCTAGAATCTGTATTGGCACTGGTGTGTTCTTCATGTGTTATTTGTTTACAATACAATGCAGGTCAGAGACCTAAATCATCCTCCCTGTTCATGAGGTCCATTTGTAAATTTACAAATGGATTTCATTGAATTACCAAAGGTAATGCAATATCGGTATGTGCTAGTAATATTAGATACATTCTCAGGTTTGGTTGAGGCTTATCCTTGTTGCCATGCGGATATTGTCTACAGTGTCTAAGAAATTGTTACAAGAATTTATACCCAGGTATGGATTGCCTCGGCACATTTACTCAGATCAGGGAACACATTTTATAGGAAAAGTAGTGCAACAGATAGCAAAAATTTTGCAAATCCCTTATCATTTACATTGCTCTCATCATCCTCAGTCAGAAGGAGCAGTAGAAAGGGCCAATGGAACATTGAAAAACAAAATTGCAAAAATTGCAGCAGAGAAAGTTAAAGTGGCTTAATGCACTTCCTCTTGCCTTATTGTCTATGAGATTCTCTCTAGTTTGAAAGCAGGGTTATCCCCTCATGAAATTCTAATTGGAAGACCAATGTTCACAGGAGGGGTACCTATAAAATGTTATTCTCATGAGATAAATGATGATTTAGTAATGACGTATTGCATGTAGCTAACAAAACGATTAGTCTCTCTATATGCAGGTAAAAGCTGTACAGCGAACAAGTGAATACCAACCATTGCATGCCATCGCTCCTGGAGATTATGTTATGATAAAAGACCATTCACGAAAGCACGCGTTGCAACCAAGGTGGAAAGGACCTTCTCAAGTGTTATTAACCACTAATTCAGCTGTTAAAGTCGCAGGGGTTAAATCTTGGATCCACATTTCCCATTGTAAACTGACAAGCGCTGAAAAAGATTTTTTCACTGGAAGAAGAATAGAGGACTAAGGAAGCCGTTTTCCCTTCTAAAAAGGGGTACTTTTTAAGGGGAGTATCTTTCTAATCCAAAGTCAACTCTACTGTTTTTCTTCATGAATCTCAAACTGGTTAAACTTATATTGTCCTTAATGATTGTCATTATGACATTTTTTTAATTTTTCATCCTCTACACTACGTTAGCTCCTTTTTTTTTTTTCTTTAATACACGTGTAGCTTGGGCCAGGGAGCCAAGTATTTTTCTTCATGGGAGATAGATAATCATTTTGTTAAAACAGCTACTGAATTGTATAAATTGTCAAACAAAAGTAATCATTGTTGGGTTTGTGGGTTTGCTCCGCATTCCATTAACTATGGTTATCCTTTTGTTGGGGTGCCATGGTCTATGGAATCTCTTTGTGAGAAAATAAGAGCAAATAAAATGGGGTTTGTTGGATTTATTCAGAATGAAGTATCCAAATCTGGGGAACCTGCTAAGGTTCATTTAACATATCCTATTACTAGCGGAGCAGTAGTAATTTCTAACAGGGATCAGAAAAGTCCTGACAAGATTGTTAAGCCTATAAGCAATGCTATTGTTATTTTTGAAAACAATGTCCTTTATAATCTATGTGGGTCTGAAACTAATTCTGCCCCTTGTACTGGTAAATTGAAAGCTTTTTGTTGGAAACCCTTATTAGAAGATATTTTGACAAAATGTCCCATCAAGGATAGAATCCCGGTGATTACTAATCATGTATGGGTAAATTTGACTTCTGAGGTAGAAATCATGGATAATAATTATGACCAGAATGAACATTTAAATGTCACTATTTTGAGATGGGCCTACTTTAATACTAAAACTTCCAATCTTTTTATGCTACTGCCCTATATTAATCAACCTATTTTTGACTGCTCAGATTCTCATGTTATTGATATCCATCTTCCATTTGGGGTATACTATTTATGTGGTAGTTGGGCGGTAAAAAGACTTCCATGTAATTGGGTGGAAACTTGTTATCTAGGTAATATTATCCCAGCGTTAACCCTTCATGAAAATTTGCCTGAAGGAAGGGTGAGGAATAAAAGAAAGGTTATTAGTTCCAAAAAAAGATAAAACCGAAAGAACTGTAAAATCTGGTGAAGAAGATAGGCTATTTGCAGGTTTTGTACCTACATGGGGGGTTATTGAATTAATGTACAAATTAAACTTGTTAGGAGATATACTAGATGAAGCCTTTTAATAATACAGGAGATGCTATTGAAAAATTGTCTGCAGAACAGGAACAAGCTTCAGCTATGATTATGCAAAATAGGTTTGCCCTAGATTATTTGTTGGCCTCCAAAGGTGGTGTTTGTGCACTAATAAAAACAAGATGTTGTTTAAAGATAGATAATGTTACTGGTCAGATTCATACAGATGTAGAATTAAATTAAACTTAGAGAAGTTCACGATACTTCTTCGGGAGGTTTAAATTGGGGTTTTGACTGGAGTTTGGTTTAACTAATTGGTTGGGAACAATGGGAAAACGTATTCTCATTGGAGTTATTTTAGTAGTATTGATGCTTGTGTTTATATATGTTGCAGTGAATGTCCTAAAGTGTTCATGCCGATTAATCCTCAAGAGCTGTTCACCTTCATCTCCCCCTGGCACAATTTCGAATGTTGAAATGTCTCCTATCCGGTCACAACTCATACCGACTTGGAATACAGACATGCTTTCTCTGAAGATATTGATCGTGTGCGCATCTATATGGAAAGTCCTGCAAGTGCTGTTTAAAATCACTAGCTCACTGAATGACCTTCGCTAAACATGGAAGTGTTGCACGGAGCTTTTTGTGGTGAAAGTCCTAGCACCAAAGGGAGGACTGTGAACATATGTAACCTGCTACTGACATGCTGTCAGCCATTTTGCTGTTTATTCATCATCTTAAAATATAATCAAAGAAGAATATTTACTCTAAGAAATAAGAAGAAACTATGTTTTATTGCTACAATTTATTAATGGATGTCTGGACTGTTTTTTGGATTGCAAAAGGAAAGGTTATTTTGAAAGCGTGTCTTGTCAGATGTTGCCAGGGGGGGAAAGGTGAAATGTGTGCTTAAGTTGTGAAAGAGGAAGTCTTATATGTGTTAACTTTTATCATAGACAAGCGATATTTTAGGGAAGTAAGATGCATGACTGTGGTCAAGTTATCTGTTAGAAAGATCATGGGATGCTTAAACTTTTGAACCTTAAATTTGTCAGTTATGCTAGAATTTAGCCAATAGGAAATAAGACCATATTTGGAGTTCTGATTCAAGCTAAACGAAAGGCCAGTTCCGGGTCATATGTATAAAATATGAGGAATTGTAACATGATGTTAGATTGCTTCTTGCCAATCTCCATGAGATATCTCTGTGTATTGTAATGGTCAATTAAACGCTTTTTATTGAACCTGGTAATATTTTTGTCTACTTCCACACCTCCTTGCAAACTATGTCAAGGATATTTAATGTATCACAAAAATAAATGTGCCATGGCACCATTGGAATAATAATCATTGTTATATTTCAGAGATCTCCTAATTCTCTATAAAATGTTGATAACTATGTAAGGAACTCCCGTGCACAACCCATAACCCAGATTTATTCACGAGATAAAATCGTATCAAATAAACATTATATTTAACAATGTGGTACAATAATATTAGCAAGAGCAATTCAGTCATTCTTCAATTACAGAAGTGTGTCTGCAGAAGTTGTAGAAGAGATGCATTGTATTCAACATATTGATTTAAATCCACTCTTTCACTTTTCTGCACATGCCCCACGTGGAAACTTGTCTATTTACACTATGGCGGAGAAGAGAAAGGTATAAGCCCTTACTTCTGACCACTGCCATCTTCTTCTTCCTCTTTATTGTCAGCTCCTGGTGCAGTCAATATTTTTGCCAGATGAAGCCAGTTCCCATTATTCGTCATGATCGATGACAGTTCAAAATGGCAGGATGTAGTGTCACAAGCTATGTCCACTTTAAACTTATGTCAAAAATCATTCCTACTTTGTTTCATTTATATCTTTTGACAATGCATTTGTGAGTTTTACATAAAAGTTCTATCCTTTATCTTTATGAAAAAATGTATAAGTGAGTTTGTAATTATCTAATGTAAAATATACTTTTAGATCTATCCAAAACACAGAAAGTACTGTTAATACTAAGTCTTTAAGACATTTGGGAGACCAGTATACAACTTAATGTGCTAGAGAGACTCAGAAGTGGACTGGCCCACTGGGAAACTGGGATATATCCCGGTGGACTGCACTTGCCTGGGGCTATCGAACCAGCAGTCACTTCTTGCGATTAAGGGAGCTAAAGGCCAATGAGGAGACATCATAGCTCAGGGGCCGAGACTCTATGCATAAAAGAAAGAATACTGCAAAGGATCCAGTGCTGGTCCATGAATGCTGCCAGTAAGTGAAAGATGTGATTGGACTATACAGTATGTAGTTCAGAGAATGTGTAGCTTGTGGGTGTATGGGCCAGTGCGTGTCAGTGTGCCTGTTTATGTGTATTATTGTGCAGTGTATGTATGTGTCTGTGAGTGTTTGTATTAATGGGTATGTGTGTCAATGTGTAAGGGTGTGTCAAGGAGAGATTGTTTGGGTCAGTGAAAAGCACTAGACCTCTATTAAATATATTTGTATAAGCTTTTCAAATGAGTTAATATTTTTGGATGTATTTTTAAAATGATTTAAAATTTAGAAAAATGTTAAATCAAGGCCAAAGTTTGCATAGATGCATATAAATGTATACATATTAATATACCTGTTTTATATTAATATAACCAAATGTTTATATAGTATAAGCATGATTTATATATGCTTAAATATGCATAAAACATTTTTCTGTATGATTTTTTTTCTATAGAATACAAGGTATAACAGAGTAGTACAAGACATGCAGGTCTGTATCAGTTAAATGTGAAACTGTGGAACTTGCAGGTTCCGTGAACATCTAAGCAACACATGAGACACACAGGTCTCAGTTGTTATGGAGGTGGTTACAAGCAAGTTAGTTACTTGCCAGATAAATATTACAATTACTGTATGGTTTCAGAAGAACAGCGTCTCAACAATGCTTGTGCTAGGTTGTTGCCCCGGTGATCAGTCGGACAATTGTCCGTATGGTGTCAGCATGTGTCCTTCTATACGTGAGGGAGGGGCACTGTCTTATTCACTAATGCATTAAAAAGGTCTCCCTGCACGGAGGTCCGAGGAAATGACGAGTAATTAAATAAAAGAAAAGGGGGAGGGGAGAGAGGTAGAAGGAGCTCAGTATTTTCACTTATGAAAAGGAGGCTGCATCATGGCATTGGCATGAAAAATATTTTACTCATAACATCGTTACGAGTAAAAATCCAAATTGCATTACTTTAAAAATGGGTTTTCTTGCACCTGCCAATAAATTATTCGGCACAGACCTCTGTGCCAAAGAATTGACATACAGGTAGAGAAGAAGAGACCTTCTATAGGCAGTCCTCATTCTCTCCAAGCATAGCAACCGCAGCGAATGCCCTGTGGTTTCTATGGATACTCCTTGGCCGATGCGTCTAGCACTGGCTAGAGAATTTAGGAACGGAGTGACTTTGTTTAGATGTCAGAATGAGGAGGATTGGGGGGTGTGGCCTGACCGGAGACCGTGATGGACGTGTCTGTGTAGAGCTCCGGCCCCAACGCGCTGAAAATAAGCTTACTATAGCTCACAAACCGCTCGAAATTGACTTACATATTATCCACAAGCCGACCATGGAGAAAAGACACCCCAAGAAGCAACCCAAGAGGGGGACCGAGGGGGGCACATCGGTCCTGGACCTGATGACGGCCCACAAGATCGGGCCTGCGGAGCCTCAAGATGGCGCAGGTCGGAGCCCCTCACCGCACTCACCCTCACCACACGAGGCCCAAGAGGGAGAGCGCCACAAGGACGAGACTGCAAAAATTTTGGAGCGCCTGGCCGAGGTGCAAACCTACCTCGCGGGCGAAATAGATAACTCGTATGTGTAAAAAAACACTATCATGCAAATACATGCAAAAAACAGTGCAAAGGTGGAGCGCTTAAAAATACAAATGGAAATAAAAATAAAAACGCACATTTACTCCTGCAATTTTCAGGAGGTAATGGAAATGATGATAATGAGATCCTTTAAATCGCCATATTCAATGAGAAACCTCAAATGGAGAAAAAAAGGGAGAAATAGGGAAGCAAAGCTAACCCTAGTGCAGATATCCTTAATATAGTAGGTAGCCAGGTGAAAAAATAGCGATTTACTTCTCACCTTATCAGGAGCCTTTAACTGGGCTCCAAGTGTATAGACACAGTGTCAATTATAGAGTGACACTTCCCTTCTTGATAGCAGCATACATATATCACTAGTCAACTTGGTAAAAGAAATTAACATTTATTGCAACTTTTAAAACAATTAAATGAAATCTGTATACTCAAGTGCCAGTGCTGTATCCAAGACGCGTTTCGCCGATGTACTGTTCGGCTTTGTCAGATAACTCCACCACGGTCCTCCGAAGCGAGATCGCCGCACTGGGTACACGAACGGCTCGCCTGGAGGAGAGGCTGGAGGCTACCAACAAGGCCCACAATACAGCAGTCACACACATCAATGGGCTGGCGGCCCGCGTGGCAGAGGCCGAACTCGCCATAGAAGATATGGCCAACAGGTCACGGAGAAACAATCTCCGTCTACGCGGCCTACCTGAGGGGGAGAGAGAAGGTACACTGCCGGCGGTACTTATGGCCATCTTCAAGCCTCTACTGCCGGATCTCCCGGAGGAGAGATGGCACATGGAAAGGGCGCACAGGGCCCTGCGCGCCAGAAGCAACGATGCAAACTCCCCCAGAGACGTTATCGTCCGCTTTTTATTTTACCAGACCAAGGAAGCCCTGATGAGAAAGAGCAGGGAGGTCAAGATGGTGCACGGAGGGAAAGAACTCCAAGTCTACCAGGACTTGGCCCCCAGCACGCTCCAGAGACGGCGGGAGTGGAGACCGGTCACAGAGGCACTACGCAGTGCGAAAATACAGTACGCCTGGGGGTTCCCATTTCGTCTGATGGCGTTCCAGGGGGGGAAGACCCACACCCTCAACCCCAGCGGAGATCCGAAGAGATTCCTAGAGACCTTGGGCATCGCTTCCCGCAGCGGCCTACCGGAGATGCAGCCATCGGCCCTCGAGCTCGAGACTCTCCCGACCGAGTGGCAGGAGGTGGGAACCCGCCGGCGCTGACACCTGAACTGGGTACAGTATGAAGCCTTGGGGACAAAGTGGCCTTCCAGGGGGGGTGCCGGGACTGTCTTGAATGGCCCCCGTGGGCATGGTGCATGGCGGTGATGAGGGTGGGGCCCTCCAGGTTGTTTGGGAGGGGGTTTGGGGGACCCTGCCGTCGCCACACGGACGGGACACACGGGGGACTGGGACGGACACCTAGGCACTCTAGATGCCTCCATGGCGGCAAAGTGCATTCCGCCATCTTCTGGGTGAGGAGAGAGACACTGGCTGAAGGACCCTGAGCACTCACCAGCATCACCCACCACATAAGCTTTTGGCTCCCTTTTGCTGGACTCCTCTCGGGTCTTGGCGGGCTGCGGGCCTTTCACCCTACCCGCCAGCCTCATAGGTGGCCTTCGCATTTATCTGTTTAGCCAACATATTGCAGTTTTTTTGATGTATGCCTCGGGACCGGGGCGGGCACGCAAAACACGCTTAAAAGGGAACCTTTTAATTGATCCGACCCCATTAGGAGGTACTCATGAGGTACACACAAATAGACAGCAAGAATTCTAGGCAGCAATCATAGGGGTATCTTCCCCTTTTTTTTTTTTTTCTCAAGGCCCCTAAGTACGTAACACCACAAGTCAGGTCAAATGGGACCCCAGTTCACACCCATACTAGCGTATTATGGATCGGGCGCTCCGGTGTAGGGCCTTTTTCTGCTCAAGCCCCGTAAAACACAGCACACGGGCACAACATACTACCCCTTACCAACATGCGTCATGGAGGCCCCCTGACGGGAGAGTCGGAACAGGGGGGAGGTGTCCCTATCCTGATCTCGAGCCCGAGGGCCCCGTCCCAGGAGACAGACTCACGGCAAGGCTAGATTACTGGCAAGTTAGCATATCATATAGATACCTACTCAACCACCGTTTCTATTTTTGATACCCCCGAGAGGCTAGAGCCGGGCACATGTTACCCCATGACTCAATGTTTTCATTTCATATATATGTCTGTTTATAATCTATGTTGTTCATTATCTAGGTCGGTGTTCATCTGGCAGCTGTCACTTTAAACACGTTAGCACAACAGCGCGTAAAAGGGGAGGGCTCACGAACCTGTTTCTCTTCCAAACACTGGAAGCGGATGAGAAGCGGGATCCTGACCCCCACAAAAGTCTGGCGGAGGGTAAGACCAGACAACATAAGGGGTGCACGGGAGGTGCATCATGTCGTTTCTTGCTTCTTCCCCTTTCCTCTTATCTTTCCTCATCTTCCTTCCTGTCTATATTTTTCCTTTTTCTCTCACATCCCATCCCAAGGGGGCAGCGAGGAAACACGATTGTGAGGGGCGCGGCGAGAGCAGAGGTGGGCGCGAGCTGTAGCTGGCAACGTGAAGAGGCCTCATGACGGCTAAACTCACATCACTAAATGTAAAGGGCCTAAACTCCCCAACCAAACGACGGCTACTATTTAAAGAACTCAAAAGGATGGGTACTGGCATAGCCTTTATACAAGAGACGCACCTACCAAGACAGGCTAAATTTAGGCTAAAGGACCCCTCTTATAGCTCAACATTCGAGGCCAGGGCATTGCGCAAACGTAATGGAGTGGCGATCCTTAAACGTAACAGTTGCCCTGTCAAGATCGTATCCACCGACTATGACCCGGAGGGCAGATATATACTTGTGTCTGGCACCTTGCTATCTCACCACGTCCATTTTCTTAATATATACGCACCAAATCACCCAGATGCAGCTTTCTGGGAGGTGCTGCAGACTAAACTCCAAACCCTACCGCACGGGATAGTCATAGTGGGGGGAGATTTGAACGCTACGCCTAGCCCGGCGGTAGACAGGAGGGCAGGCAGCGGCACTCAGTGGTCCCATGGGAGAGGGAGCCAAGATAAGCTGCTACAACGGTTCATTGCGGAGACGGGGTTGGTGGACGCGTGGAGAGCACATCATCCGGGCACACGGGACTACACTTTCTTTTCGGCCCCTCATGGTTCCTATTCCCAAATAGACATGTTCCTAGTTAACGATAAGAGCCTACCACGAATAACTAGCACGGACATAGGGTCCATCACATGGTCGGATCACGCTGACATCTCATTGACGTTGGGGAGATTGAGCGAGGCGACCCCATGGACGTGGAGACTTAACGCCTCCCTCCTGAAAGATCAGTCTATAGCAACCCAGCTCAAAACCGAGCTCAACAGTTTTTTCGAGACTAACATTACCCCAGACGTGACATTGGCTACAGTGTGGGCGGCCCACAAGATGGTTATTAGAGGTACCCTAATAAAATTAGCAACTGCAAAAAAAGAAAAGGAAGTTCCAGAAACTAGGAGAACTTCTGACTGACTTAAAGAGAGCGGAACACCAGCACCAGAGTTGCCTGGACGACATTACTGCGGGCCGACTGAAGGAGCTGAGATTGGCGATCCGCCAGCTTCTCCTAGACGACGCAGCCAAATCTATGACATGGTCCAAAAGGACCTTCTACGAACATGCAAATAAAATGGACACACTCTTAGCTAGAGTCCTAAAACCCAGACAGAGAAGAGGTCACATAACATTAAACACACCGACGGTTCCACCAAAATTAGTCCCCGAGACATAGCAGAGGTCTTTACGGACTATTACAAATCCCTCTATAATCATACACCGGGATCTGAGTTACGGACTGCAGAGGACGAGGCACTGACAAAAAAGTTTCTGGCAGACTTAGGGTTACCCAAGCTACCACAGGCAGGTGTTGAGGCACTAGAGGCAGAAATCACGCCAGAAGAGGTGGCGCACGCCATTGTGGCCCTGAAAGGTAATAAAGCCCCAGGACCCGATGGTTTCGACGGAAGCTATTACAAGGAATTCAGAGAAGAGTTAGCTCCCCAATTAGCCACCCTTTTTAACGATTTTCGATCAGGGGGCGCCCCAGACTTGGACATGTCACTGGCTACCATAGTCTTGTTACCTAAACCGGACAAAGACCTGAGTATCCCGAGCAGCTATAGACCAATATCATTGATTAATCATGATATGAAAATCCTGGCAAAGATACAGGCGACAAGACTGAACCCTTTCTTAGCTACATTGGTAGACGCAGATCAAGTGGGGTTTGTGCAGGGCAGGCAGTTGTTCGAAAACACCCGAAGGAACATTGATATTATCTGGAAGCAGAAAATTACGCACACTCAGACCTTGCTGGTCTCTTTAGACGCTGAAAAAGCGTTTGACAGAGTCACGTGGACGTACCTGTTCACGCTCCTGTCCCACATGGGATTCCCCGAACAGGCAATAACTCTGATCAAAGCCATGTATACCAACGTACGTAAAAATCTCAGGCGCCCCACTGCGACCGTTCAGACTATACAATGGCACCAGACAAGGGTGCCCACTCTCCCCGCTCCTCTTTGTGCTTTCCCTGGAGCCCCTGCTCCAGGCCCTTAGACGACACCCAGACGTACGGGGAGCTCGGGCGGGAGGCAGGTAGTTTCTGGTTTCGGCCTATGCAGCTGATGTGCTCCTGGCGCTCACTGACCCCGTCAACTCGATGAGGGCCCTGCAGGGCGTCCTGGGGGCATTTGGAGCAGTTTCGGGCTACAGAGTTAACATGACCAAATCCAGCGCCCTCCCCATAGAGATTCCGATAGGGGACTTGACAGATATACAACGGGCACACCACCTCCGCATTGAACGACAGTCGATAAAATATCTAGGCGTTAAGCTGACAGCAGCCCCTGACCAACTTTATTCACAGAACTATACGCCTCTCCTGAAGCAGCTTATCAGGGAACTAGAGACCTGGACCGATAGACCCATCTCCTGGATAGGGAGGATCCACGCGGTCAAAATGAATATCCTACCCAGGATATTATTTTACTTCCAGTCTCTGCCCATCCATGTCTCCAGGACGCAGCTGGCGCCCTTGCAACAAGCCATAGGAAAGTTCGTGTGGCATAATAAACGCCACAGGATCTCTAGGCAGGTATTGCACAGGCCAAAAAGCAGGGGCGGACTAGGCTTACCTAACCTATACGGATACTACTTGGCGACACAACTGTCGCAAATAGCATTATGGCATTCTCCACCTGGGGAGAGGAGGTGGGTAGATCTGGAGTCACTAATGGTGGGGGCGGACATTCCACAGCTACTCATATGGGTCCCCAAAGAACATAGACCAATCATTAGATCGACCTGTCCAGCTATCCTAAACTCTATGCATATTTGGGATAGAGCTCAACGGCGACACGGGCTGGCATCAACCCCATCACCTCTGATGCCGTACCTAAGAAATAGAGCATTCCCTCCGGGCATGGCAGCGCGCAACTTTAGGAATCTAGAGAGACTAGGTTTGCAGCGCATATATCAGCTAGTGCAGGATGCAGAGGTAGTGACTTTCGACGCCTTACAACATAGGGGGCATCTCACTCCCGCAGACTTTTTCAGGTACCTACAAATAAAAGATTTTGCTAAACTGACATGGGTCCGTGCGGCGGCCCAAAAGCCCTTGACTTTTTTCGAACAAATTTGCATTCAGGTCCATATGCCTAAGGGCCTGATAACTCGGCTGTACGCCCACCTCTGCTCAGTGCCTAACGACGAGGGTGGGCTGGCGTACATGGACCATTGGGAGAGAGACCTAGGGGAACAACTAGAAGGGATAGAATGGCAGGAGATTTGGGAAGCCAACCACAAGTCCTCTGTTTGCGTAGCATTCCAGGAGCAGGCGATTAAGACGATGATTAAGACGATGCGATTAAGACGACGCCTGTAAAACTGTATCAAATGAAGAAGAGCACTACGGATGTATGTTGGAGAGGGTGCGGAATTAAAGGGATGTATATCCACATGTGGTGGGAATGCCCTCTGATAGCAAGCTTCTGGCACCAAATTAAGGACCTACTAACCCAGGTCCTGAGCAGAGCTCCCCCCCTAGACCCGTGGGTATATCTGCTCAGCAGAAAGATAGATGGGTGGTCTAGAAACGAGCAAAAACTTATACACAACATAACTCTAGCAGCTAGGAGAGCAGTGGCAGCGGACTGGCTAAAACAAACCACCCCACAGATGGCAGCAGTCGTCAATAGAATTAAGGAAGTCCACTTGATGGACGATCTGACAGCAAGAGTCAGAGGCACCCAAAAACGGTTCCAAAAAATATGGTCTCCTTGGGAAGACAGTCCCTTGAGCTGAACCACCTGGCAGGTTTGCCCCTTTTTTTTTTAGGCCCCGCCGATCAGGCACCTCTTTGGAAGATGCCCCCCCCTCTTTAATCCTTTCCCTCTTCTCTTTCTCTAACTCTGTCTACCTGGATACCACAGGTATAAACATGACAGTATACAACGTATCATATTCGCGAGTTTTGTTATAAATAAAATGTACGTGGCAGGGGGTAAAGCTGCGAAGTTTTATTCCTCCATATAGTGGTGGCTTATGTTTTGGAGGACAGGAGGTACCCTGTTTTACAATATATGTGTTAATCTCTTACAAACTGTGCAATGCTCTCGAGTTATACATGTTATCTTTGTCAACATAAATAAAGAATTAAAAAAAAAAAAAGAATGAGGAGGATTGCCCTGCTTGGAAGTGTCATAATAACCTCTAAATGACAATCACTATATAGGCAGGCTGTAGATGCTGGATTGAAAGGGAGGTGAATTAATATCGGTGCACACACAACTGACACACTGTATTTTGAAATTGGTATAAAATATTTCCAGAGCAGCTTTTTATTCCCAGTCTGACCCTGCCTATATGTAAAGTAAAAAGCTAATTCTATTTTATATTTGACTAGTTTAATCACCAACTATGACAGATCCATTTCACGTGTGCTTAAACTACATGAGACTCTTCTTTGATGTACTTTAAATATAATAAGTATAAACAGTTGCAGTTTCAGCATGCGACATGTTAAAGTTTAATCATGCATGAGTCAGTCAATTTAAATAGCTCATTCACTGATTGACTCTACCTTTAGATACACAGGTTAGCTCCAAAGCTGATTATGTGCGATTATGACATTGGAGTTAGAAAGTGTGCCCATTTCCCTTCCTCGCTTATGATCCGTTTATATTGTAACATAATCAGCTAACTACGTCGTGATACTTTCTTTATTATATTATTGGTTTGCAAAAAAAACTCCAACAAAGCATATTGCCTTAACAATAACAGAAGTTAAAGGAGAAGATAATTGGCATGACAAATATTAAACTCTTGGCTACCAATTGTTTTACATGAACAAACATTTTAACAGTGTTCGGACAGAGAAGCTCAAGAAACAGCTCTCCATTTCTGTGTTCTACTGTGGCTGCTGAAGTTTAAAGATGGTAGGGTGGCTCCCACCCCTTCCGCCGACTTGTTGGATTCTACTCACTTTAAAACCCATGAGATGCCATGCCCCGTTTAAAACCAGCTGTTAAAAGGAGAATGAAAACTGCAGATATAATCATGACAGACGCACGAATCATTAGTCCTTACAACACCAATAGAATTTACTTTTTTTTTTTTTTAAAGAAAAAAAACTCTGGGTTAGTAGATTCACCACCCCACATACCGCTCTGGACCAGCTTGCACTGGTTATAGTGCCACATGTTACTATAGTAATATGATACACATTTTAAATGCATTTTTTAGAAAAAAATATACAATTTAATTTGACCTCTGGGATTTAGCATGTTTTGTGAATGTCTGGTATAAGAACAGAATATCATGTTTAATTATATATACATTAGACATTTTGGTTGGTTGCTAGTGGTATCATGGCTTTCCGTACCTTTCTTTTAACCTTACCTTTACTCACAGCTCCATGATCAAGGTCCTTCTTTTTCTATGTGAAAGGTCATAAGTTTTAAAAGAAGCTATGGTGTCAGTTAGATTGTATTTGTGTTTCCTTATCATTGAATGCACACAAACAGGAAGCCTATGCTAGGGTTCATGGTATCTATTTGACATGAATCATATGTTCAATTAGTATATTTATTGCTTATGATGTAATTACTGGCAGGTTTTTAAATGCGCTTATTTATTTTTGTAATAATTGATATATTTCTTTACAGACAATAAATTACAAAATGATTTAGTACTATTTTAAAATATTTTTTTTTTATTAACAAATGTTTCATAAAAAGCATAAAACAATTTCAAAACAATAATATAACAATTCAGACAATATTAATGAGGAAGGGGTAAATTATTTAGTATTCTATTTGAAAACAATAGCACTTTATAGTCTTACGTAATCTCATTTCCAAACAGTCCCAAATTTGGCGATACTGTCCTGATTTCCGGCTGTCTTTCCAGCCTGGGTTTACTAGGATTTTGTCCTCAGCAAGCACAAGACAAGCACATTATTAAATACATTTGTGCTGTACGGAATGGAGTCAGGGCACTTCAGTAGCTCTGACCTTGAGTGGTGCCGGCCTGAGAGGCTGTGTGATGTAGCACCCACTTTATTTGCTGTTACTTCCCTTTCTATGGCAGGCCCGCACCTTGGCAGAGCCAAACGCTACCCTAGTGGAGACACAGAGGGTGGAGACACTGAATTTTAGTGCTGTACACTGTGCAGCACTGCCCTAGGAAGCACCTATGGTAGCCATTTGAGTGGTCAGTGGAGCTATAACTAGGCTGTAATGTAAACATTGCATTTTCTCTAAAAAGACAGTGTTTACAGCAAAAAGCCTGAAGGGAATGATTATACTCACCAGAACAAATACAATAAGCTGTACTTGTTCTGGTGACTATAGTGTCCCTTTAAGTTGCATTATATCATACTTTGTATATGTTATGTCATAAAACGAAGTGCTACCATACACTAAGATTGTTTGTTTGGCATGTCCACAGTTACTGTGATTTGTTATAGGTGCTCTTTATATGTATACTATGCATTTACCTCAGTAAAAAAATAAAGAAAGAAAAATGATAAAGGCAAATGCCTGTGGGAAGTCTTAAAGCAGATCTGTCCCTTCTGGGTATTTCATATGAAACACCCATGCAGACTACGTTGGAATTTCATTGAAAATAAAACACAAGCCAAAAATACCATAAGAGATAGAAGGGGATATTGATGATCCTCCACAATTTTTTCCGCCTTGATATTTTTTTATGGATGATAAATAGACATTTTTATTGCAGCTCCTGCTATTGCTGTCCTCTTGGTAGAGCATAGATTTACCATATTAATAATTTTTACCTGGCAGGTGAAGCATCACGAGCTAAACAAGGTATCCAGGAAGCCATGAGGGACATTTTTACCTAACCTTCGGTGGTCTGTGCAAAATTTGCAAAGTCTTTTGAAAGTGATAGAGCTGCTTTACAAAATTATTATTCAAGGCTGTATTCATACTATTGAAATATCGTTGCACTCTTAGACCCTGGATGCCCCCGTTCCCTTTTTAAATTGGTGATAACACTTTTTTTTAACATTTAGTTATCAGCACACTTTTCTGTAGAGGCTTCTGTTATGCTGCACCCTTTCTATTTCCCACAGCAACAAAGAAATGACATGTGATAAATCAAATTAAAAAAACAAGCATGAACATTACAATAACAATGTTCTCCCAGTAACACTATGATAGACTGTAGCTTTGGGTGCTGGTCTTTTAATACTATTTATTTATATATATATTTTTTTTCTTTGTTATTTGCATTTCTTTGCATTCAGAGGGGCTTTATTACACTTTCGCGTTCTGTTTGTCTTCTCCTTGCTGTCCCCACTGCTGTCAATTTTTGTTCCTCACCTTACTCATAGTAGGTATCCAGTTTTAGTGGTGATCAGACGGCTCTTTGCTCCCTGCGTTCCCTTTAGCTTTTTTTCAGTTGTGAGTATTCCCCTTTTTTTCCTTTTTTGCACTTTATTCCTGTTGGTAATTCAACCCTGAGTATTTAGGTGATTTGATTTCTTTAGGTGTTAGAAACACTTTTTACTCTAACTACTAAAAATCCTGCCGTCCGCAGGGCTCGTTACAGGCCCAGTTGCCTGTCCCTCTGGCATCTCAGGTGGCCACGATACCCCTTGCCTCTCAACTTGCGCGCCCAATGCCGCAAGGCCTTGGCAAAATCTAAACACTCCTCCAAAACCAATAAGATGGGCAATTTTGCACCTGTCAACGATGGCGTGCAAGTGGAACCACCATGCAAAATAACCACTAACAGGGCAAAAGTGACAAGAATATTAAAATGGGAAAATGCCCAAAGAGATTGCTCTTAGTCGTATCTCCAGTATGTATGATCCAGAGTCCTATTCGGACCCATCTTACAAACTATCTCATCCTGAGTCAGATTGTGACATTGTTGTGGATCAGGCCCCCTCTTATAACATTGCTATGTACTTGGCTTCTGGCACTCAGATTAGTCGCCAATTGTTGACCAGTAAGTATAAAATAAATGCGAGCCCCTATGTGCCCCCAATGACTTATGTCATCCATGATCACCTGCTGAGCATGTAGCACGTTATATTGCTGCCCGGGTCCACACACCTCTAGACAAGGCCCCTGGTGGATCGCAAGATTGTATTGTTTCTAGGGAAGCCCAAGGAGGACTTTAATTTCTCCATGCAAAATTTTTGAGGCAGGAAAGAATCTTTGGACCAGATACTGGATCACTTAACCGTTAGAGGTTTGATTCAGAGATTGATTTGCCTAATCAACAACGCAAACACCAAAGTTGCCACTTTGCACCGCAAATTGATTTTTTTTTTAATTTTACCAAAACTAGTTAACCTGGCAATCACAGAACTGGGCGCTCAAGTTAAGTGTTTCCTATTCTTGGATTCCTTTATAAAAGGACCTGGGGTCTTACATTCAGACTTTCACAGCCTTGGACAAAGCACAGGCCATCATGTGGAGGGTGTTCCATCCTAAGGTTTTGGCTGGAGCCGGAAGAGCCAGGAGCCGTCTATCTGGCCGAGGTTCACAACGCCAGAACTGATGTTCCTACATTGCGTGTCAAGAGGCACACAAGGCGCTCCTTTGGAACAGCATCCCTGATGGTAAATTACTGTGATTACCTTTCTTCCCTATGAATGGCGGGGGCAGATTCATCCAGTTTTCCCATGTTTTATCCCTTATTACTACAGATGCTCAGAGCTGTGTTTCTTCGTAGGGAGATTGTTTTTCCCGAGAAGATATGATCCTCATTTCAAAGGAGATACAAGAGTAGGCACACAAAGGAGCCATTCTCAAAATTCCGATGCACACTCTGGGTTTTATGAACAATGAATTTGTTTCTGGTCCCAAGAAGGGGGTGGACTCTGCTTAGTGAAGAGATTGGACTGAGTCAACAGTGTCACACCCTACCTATTGTATGCTTAAAGTAGGATGGTCAAAGAGACCCATTGTGTTGCAAGAGCTGGCTCAACCATTTCTTCACTGTAATTACTGTACCTGCATACTCCTCCTTGTATTATGTAAACTTGCCTTAAATGTATTATGCAAATGTTTGTCATGCCTGAATTTAGAAAAAGATGTGTGATCATACAATAAAGCAGTTCGGTTTTATATTAAGAGGTTTGCTTGTCTCTTTCTTTGTTATAACTATCTATGATCTGCTATAGTGCGATCGCTTATAGTAGAATTGCTAGTGGTTTTTATTTAGATAGAATATCCTGTTATACCCGAAGCATCTTGGTATATCCTGCTTTGCCGTGAGATTAGCAACTTAAGTACAAGAGTCCTAGCATTCAGGGTAGACGTTTGCCAGGCGAACTAGTGGAAGTTCTTCCAGGTGATACAAGGTCTGAAATGTTATGTCTTTGGTAACAGAGACACCAGGACCATATCACTTCCAACTGAATCACCAGCGAGGAGAGACGCTGCATTCACTAGTTGGAAAAGTACAGGCTAATGAAAAGAATCCCACGGGTGATACTAGGCCTAAACTGGTCCACTCTCAGGGTCAGAGACACCAGGGCCATATCATCATGGCAGTGCTATGGCATCTAAGGCCTCTTTAATTGGCTGTCATTTGGAAGATTATATTATGAAAGTGGCTGATTGGTCCTTGGAGTCCACTTTCCATGATTTTAGCTTCCAACCTATTCCCCATTTTGTGGGAGGTGTGATTTCACATTTTTAAACTATCATAATAGGAGCCTCCGTGTATTGAATAAAATCCCCAGATTTTACTATTAAAATGTCGTTTATGCCACCATCCCACTCCATCGATGTTCACTTTATACTTCAAGGTAAGTTTGACCACCATTTTTTTTCTCCACTTATGGAGATATATGTCCTTACACGCAAGTCTCTGGGGTTTTTATATACAAAACTTTGATTTTATTATGATTTCCTGATTGTTTTACATGAGCCATTAGATTATTACTGATAATTTAAGATATGTTTCTGTTTGTATAAATATTCCATAAATATACACAATATTACCATATATCTCTTATTTTTACAAGAGTGACCAAACTTACAAGAGCCTTCTGGATCCTATGTGTTGTTCCAGTTCTATTTTTCCAGGCTGTGTTTCGTTATCAGTTCTCATTCTGGACCACAAGAAAGAGCACGTTATTACTTAAGTGTCGCCAGTTATAGGATAAGGACGTTGCTGATTGGCTGATCATGTAACTAGGCGAATATTGTTACTGTAATGTTCATGCTTGTTTTTATATTGATTTTTTTATGTTATTTCTTTGCTGCTAAGAGAAAAAAAGAGAACGCTGCATAATAGGAGCCTCCGTGTCATTAATAAAATCATGACGTAAAAAAAAATAAAAAAAAGGAATGTGTTCATACTCTAAAAACTGGGATGGAGGTGTTAGTTAATGAAGACCAGGAAAAGGCAGAAATTTTAAATAACTATTTCTCCTCCGTATATATTAAGGAAAAACCTATGGCAATAGATATGCAAATGATTACTCAAGACAAAGTGCTACAGCAAGCAACTAAAGAAAGTTAATATAAACAAAGCTCCAGGGCCTGACGGTATTCATTCACAAGTACTTAAGAACTAAGTGTGGAAATAATTGAACCTCTGGTTTTTTTTTTTAAACATTCTTTATTTTTTTGAACCTCTGGTTTTAACCTTTCAAGATTCTTTTCTTTCAGGAAGTGTTCCGGAGGATTGGAAGAAGGCAGATGTGGTTCCTATATTCAAAATGGGTTCAAAATAATTGCCTGCAAAATAATTGCCTGCAAATTATAGACCTGTGAGCTTAACTTCTGTGGCTGTGAAAGTATTTGAAAGGTTATTAAGGAATAATATTCAGGAATTAATTGGGAAGAACATTGTTATCAGCAATAATCAGAATGGTTTTATGAAACATAGGTCATGTCAAACAAACCTAATTGCATTATATGAAGAAGTAAGTAGAAGTATAGATCAGTGGGGGGCGTGGCCTGGACGCGGACGAAAATGGCAGCTTAGGCAGAGAGCTCCGTCCCACAAGCTCCAACAGCACGCTGTCAGCACAGCCCGGCACGGACATGGGACGCACAAAAAGAGTGGAGGGCTCCCAGACACCAAGGGGGAACCCCCCTAGCACCCCAGCTGGACCCATGGACGGGTTCCTAACGCCCGCAACAACCACACGCCAGGAGGCCGCAGACCCCAACATGGCCGACTCCCCGACCGGAACGTCACCTGAGAGCGGCGAAACCACGCTGGCAGACATCAGTGCCGAGATCAGGGCACTTGCTGCCAACATGGTAACCAAGGATGACCTCCGCGGCCTATCTGAAACCCTGCATGCTGCAATACACACAGAGGTAACTGCACTGAGAGCAGACTTGGTGACACAGGGCAGCAGACTCCAGCAATTAGAAAACACCACACAAGCCCACACAGCTCAAGCAGAGGCCTCTAACTTAGCCATCACTAGACAGGGGAATATGCTATTAACCCTGAGGCGCCATACTGAAGATCTGGATAACAGAGGCCGCAGATCCAACATAAGGGTGCGCGGCATACCAGAATCCGCGGGGGACGAAGATGTGGAGGCTTTGCTGCGCGCACTATTCAGAGGTATCTTGGGGGCTGAGACGCCGGCCACGATAGAGTTCGACAGGGCGCATAGGGCCAACAGGCTGCGCACAATGGAGGGGACTCCACGAGACGTCATTTGCTGCATGCACCAATATAAGCTAAAAGAAAAGATCATGGCCAAAGCGAGATCCAGACCCACTTGGAGATTCCAAGACGCAGATGTGGCTCTATACCAAGATCTCTCGCCCCTGACGTTAGAGGCGCGCAGAGCACTGAGACCGATCACGACACAACTGCAGGAGAGGAGGATCACTTATAAGTGGGGCTATCCCTTCGCTCTCCTAGCCAGGCACCAAAATGAGTGGATACCCCTGCGATGGCCGGAGGAGGCACCCAGATTCTTACAGCGCTTGGGCCTGCCGCCCACAGAAATCTCCAACTGGATCCTGAACCAACCTGAACAGAGACCTGGCCCACAGACGCCGAGACAACAACGCCGACGCAGGGAAGAGACGCCGCGGCGTCCAGTAGCCCGCAGACAACTGGAGCCCGGTGACCCAGAAGAGTAAGATTGGCGAGGCCCCCCTCCCCTTTGCTCCTCCTCCGCCTCCCGGCCGGCCCTGGCGCGGAACTCACCTCCCGATGAAGAGCTAGCAAGACGGACCTGGAGGTCCTCTAAATACCAGAAGACGCCTGATACCAGATAAGTCTCCACTGCACGCACAAGTACACCTTGGCCCTTACACGCTTACCTAACTCATCAGCTCGCACGAGACATTAAGCAGAGACACACACTTGGCATGCAGCTCACAAACCTTACGCACCCACCTCTCTCTTTTTTCTTTGGGAGGGGGCACACAATGGGGGGAAGGCATTTCTAACAGAGGGCACCAAGACGTACCAGCACCAATACTATCTGGCAATTATGAGAACTGGGGACACCTCTGGCGCCATTGTGAGGATATCACCTCAAGGGGCAAGCGAAACAGGAGGATTGTCGGGGCGGGGGTGGGGGGGCTGGGGAATTTGGGGGGGGGACGCCGGACACTGCACAAATGAACCGTGCACTGGGAACTAATATATTTGCCTCCTCGACCCAGTTGGGCTATATGGAACAGGAGACCAGCCTGGAAAAATCCAGACAGTAATAAGACATGCAATACCTAATGCTGGTGGGCACGGGGGGTGGGGGACGGGGGGCAATGGGATGATTGTACTTTGAACAGCTTTTTTACTATGTACCGGAGGAGGGGACTCAATGGGGGCGGGGTGGATGGGAGGTGGAATAGAGGATGGAGGGGTGGAAAATGTCAAACGAATTAATGCTTTGTTTATGATGACTGCGACGACACCACGCACCTATGACCCACCAACCCAAGGTGACAGAGCACCAAAGATATGGAAAGGCCCAGACCATTGGAAAAATAGGCTGACAAAAAAAATAAAAAAAAAAATAAAAAAAAAAACACCATCAATGGGAACCCCCATCTAACCACCGAGCTATCCTAACCCAGACAGATCTGACCTGCCTGGTCTGACATGGTAGAGGCCAGCCTGCATCCCTGCCTGCCGCCCCCCCCTCCCCGGAGGCCCACGGTTGCGAATATTTCTCCAGGAGACAGCAGTTGTCACCTCGGCCCCAACCGGCCCACGACATTGGGAGGACCACGACTTCCCGAGCCAATCAGACACCCAGCCGTGACCATAGAGCAGACAAAACAAAAGAGACAGCGCACATGACTAGCATATACATAAGTGGGGAACGGACCTTGCTCCTGAGCTGACACTACATGACCACCCACAGACACCTGAGACCAAACAGGTACTCATCACACTGACCGCCTGACCGGTCCACCCCCAACAGGACCTGTGTTCTACCAAACTACTGGGGGAGACAGATCCGCGGCTGTCCTAGGAATCTAGAAGACGGTGCGGACCTGATACTCGATCCAGTCACACAGGTTACCCTCACTCCGAGGGACCTAGACGCCTTGGGGACCCCCGGCCCCGCCCGGACTTGGAAAATCTTCCCTTCCCTCCTTCCCTACCTAGCCACCACCCTCCCCCCCCCACGTATAGCGATTGACACACTCGAACCCCGGGTGCCCTGAAGACCCTACACCATGGCGTTCACAGATGCCCCCTTCCAAATCCTCACGCAGAACTGCAGAGGACTGAACGCCCCTGAGAAGCGCACGCACCTCCTACGGGAATTGAAAAAGCAACACGTGTCCGTAGCACTGTTGCAAGAAACACATCTGAGAGCGGCCGAAACACATCGATTGACGGACAGATGCTTCCCGGACAGCTTCCATAGCACCACCCAACAGCACGCAAGGCGGGAGTGGCGATTCTCCTGGCCTCCAACCTTCACTTCCACCGAAGCGACGCGCTGGCCGATCCAAATGGCAGATACCTTTTCGTAAAGGGGACGATAGCCCAGAAGACGTACACGTTTGCTTCAATCTATGCCCCAAACGCCAAACAAGCAAAATTTCTCCGCAACACACTGCTCAAGCTCGCCAACTTCACGGAGGGTGCCCTCGTGGTAGGGGGGGACTTCAACACCCCACTGGAACCGATCCTAGACTCCTCAACGGGACACAGCAGCATCCCACAAACAGCAATTCGGACGGTCCGAAGGACCCTACACGAACTGCGATTGGTGGACGTATGGCGTACCCTACACCCAGGAGACCGAGATTACACGCATTACTCGGCCATGCACAATAGGCATGCTAGGATAGACTACCTTTTCATCCAACAAGAAGGACTGCAAAGACTACTGCAGGCAGACATCCGCCCCACTCCATGGTCGGACCATAGCGCAGTATACATGCGCATGGAATCACCCCTATACAGACCTACCCGGACCGTATGGCGCTTAAATGAACTACTCCTCTCCGACGAACCGACGCAGGCACAATTACTGGAACAACTAAATAACTACTTCACTGAAAACGACACCGAAGAAATCTCCGCACTTACTCTGTGGGAGGCCCACAAAAGCGTTCTCAGGGGACTACTTATCCGGATATCAGCGCAAAAAAAGAAAGAAGCACAACGACAAATGACGGCACTAGCGGAACAGATAGCAACGCTGGAAACGCTGCACAAGAGGACCCGACAGGAGGAGCATTACCGCACTCTTTTGACCCTCAGACGGCAACTATCGGACCTGATAGCCCGCAAACACCACAGGTCGATCCAGAGATCGAAGGCCTTCTTCTACATCCATGCCAACAAGGGAGGAAGGCTGCTAGCCCGCATGCTGCGGAACCAACAAACAAGCGCACAGGTAAGCGCGCTGCGAACAGCCAGGGGCACCACTACGCAATTCCCTGAAGAGATTGCAAATGAATTCCGCTCGTACTACGAAGACCTGTATAACATACCGCCCGAAACCCCGGACGCGGACGAGACCGGCACCGCAGGAGACATCGCACGCTACCTTAGAGACTTCAACCCTGAAACCCTATCCCAGCAGGAAGCAGACGCTCTAGACGCCCCGATATCTACAGACGAGATACTGGCAGTGATAAAAACCACAAAAAAAGGAAAGGCACCAGGCCCGGACGGGTTCTCGGCGGGCTACTATAAAAAGTTCAGAGACATCTTAGCCCCACGTATCGCCAACGCCTGCAATCATCTCCGGGATGGGGGTATATTTCACAGAGAATCCCTAGCAGCCATAATCACAGTGATTCCCAAACCCGGTAAGAGCCCGGAAATTTGCGGCAATTACCGACCCATATCGCTGCTAAATGTGGACGTGAAGATTTTCTCCAAAGTACTAGCTACGCGACTGCAACAATTCTTGCCAAGGCTAGTCCACCCAGACCAGACAGGGTTCATTCCGGGAAGAGAGGCCAGGGATAGCACACTGCGGGCCTTCACCATACAAAGCCTGGCGCGTAGGGGAACATCGGACTTCCTTATGCTCTCCACAGACGCAGAAAAGGCGTTCGACCGGGTACAGTGGAGCTTCATGTTGGCAGCGCTGAAGGCGATGGGTCTAGGGAACGGCATACTCACCTGGATAACGGCACTATACACCGACCCAACCGCCAGAGTACGGGTAAATGGAGCACTCACAGACAACTTTGACATCAACAACGGAACCAGACAGGGATGCCCGCTGTCCCCCCTCCTCTTCGCCCTCTCATTGGAGCCGTTTCTAGACAAGATCAGAAGGACACCAGAGATCCAGGGATTTCAACAGAAAGACCAGACACACAAGGTGGCCGCATACGCGGATGATATGCTTTTCTTCGTCGCGGAACCTCAGGGCACACTGCCGGCCCTCCTACGGGAGTTCAAGCAATACGGGCGGATATCAGGACTCAAGCTAAATCTAGCAAAATGCGAAATCCTGGCAATACACACCGAAAGGAACACGCAGGAGAGACTCCAACGCAAGTTCCCTTTTCACTGGTGCAAGGAACAGATGCGCTACCTGGGGATTTGGCTCTGCCGTGACTCGGGCGAGACATACGAAAGGAACTATACACCCCTCTTACGCACTATACTGACGGACCTGTCGAGATGGTCGTACGACCACATCTCTTGGCAAGGCCGAATAGCGGTGGTCAAAATGAATATCCTCCCCCGCCTCCTCTACTGCTTCAGCGCTATCCCCTGGCACCTGCCACAGGACTTCTTCACCAGGCTCAAAACAGCGGTGACGAGGTATGTATGGAAGGAAGGGAGACCACGGCTTAAGCATGAAAGACTATGTTTGCCAAAATCATGGGGAGGCCTGGCCCTGCCGGACTTTCGGAGATACTTCCACGCGACAGTACTGCAAAGAATTCGAGAATGGCACACGGCCCCCACCAACAAACTATGGACAAGGCTGGACAGGGAAAGCACAAACAGAGCACTCCACACATACATCTGGCATCGTCCGACAGGGGCTACACAAGCCCTGGGTGCGGAGTCCCCAGTGACGCAGACGCTGAAAACCTGGACCACCCTGCGAAGGGAAGCTCACATCTCGCCACAGCCAAGCCCCCTGATCCCCCTGACATATAACGTAACCATAGGAGGGGGACTACACGCAAACGCGTGGCCAACGCAAGGAGCAGAGGGATATGTACCCCTGAGTTCGGTCCTGACAAACGCCAGCCTGCGCAGCCTTCAAGATTGGGCGGACACAGATCGTCCGACAGTAATGCACCGTTTCCATTACGCACAACTGCGACACTTTTACCACAATATGCCCAATAGGGAAGCGGTACACAGAGAATGGACCTGGTTCGAACACCTCTGCCAGAGCTATCCAGAGGCAGATGGTAGAGTATCGGGCATATACCAGCAATTGCTCACAGGGGAACTTTCCAGAAACAACGCCTTCCAGAGGCAGTGGGAGGAATTGACAGACAGAACCTTCACAGACGCCCAATGGGCGCAAATTCTCATATTACAACACAAAAGCTCCATAAGCACCAGGTACCAAGAGGTGAACTACAAGCTGATCTCCCAGTGGTACAGAACACCAGCAAAACTACACAGGATATTCCCAGGGGTTCCAGATACTTGCTGGAGATGCGAAACGCAGCGAGGTACACTGCGCCACATTTGGTGGGACTGCCCTGGGATCAAGCCATTCTGGGAGGAGATACAGCGGGAAATCACTACAATTCTGGGTGATCCACCAGACTTTAGCATAGAGGCTGTGCTCCTACACTTCTTCACGGGACAGCTGGCACAATACAAACGCTCAATCCTACGACATCTGCTGAATGCGGCCAAAGCATTGATCCCAGCGAAATGGAAGCAAACCCAGCCACCTTCCAAAACGGAATGGCTGCAGAGAATAGAAGAGATCCACACAGCTGAGGCGAGATATGCTGAAATACTTGGAAGGAGGGACAAACACCTTGAACTGTGGACGCCATGGTACTTATACACGTCACAACAAGGATAGGGGATGGGTCACCACGGGGATCCTAGACAGCTGGACCAACACGCGCATCTTAACACAATCACCCTCTTCCCCACCTCAACCAGACCTGAACTGATGGACTAACTCGGGAGTCAGGACAGACTCATGCCACACCATAGCTATGCCCCACACCTTCCAGACCTCCCCCCTTACACACTCCCACCCATACCTATCTTTCCCCTCCTCTTCCCTCTCTCTTTCCCCGGGCGAGGCCGGGGACCGCCAGGCGCAACAGGGCCACGATATATTTGAGCCCGAGAAGGCACCACGACTTCCCTATGGGACGTGGGCCCAACGAGACATCGCTCAATTGACTCAGAGGGGTCCCATGACGTGGGAACTCCCACAATAAACAGCAAACACAAGCCAACTCTGGATGACTGATACAACTGAGCACTGAGACATCACACCATCCCCATCCGAAGGGGGAAACACTTCAGACACACCATAGATACCACACGTGGACAGCGACTGAAGCATGATAACGATGACCGACCACAAGTAAGCAATGCGACAGAGACGGCTGGCCTGGGTGCCCCCCCCCCCCCTCGCGGCGGGGGAGGGGACGCAGACCCGGGGAGAGGGGGTAGCTGACCCAGGAGAGAACCCACAACATATCTAGGCACCACCAAAGTTAAGGAAAAGACAACAGGAAAGGGAGCCCCAGGCCAGGTGCACGACTATAGGACCTGATCCCGCAAACCGACCCCTTTCTCACTCCCCATGTACGAGGACGTGACCTGGGACCTACCGCACCACTCACCATCGGATTGAGGTTCAGCTATAGAATTATACGGCCCTCACTGATGTGGGCCAGCGGTCATCCGCTTCCGATAACGTTTTATAAAGGTTCATCTAGAGTTGGCGGTACCTGTGTCAGACGCAATTGGAGACCTGCGAGTCTCACTGACGATATAAGCTCTGCTATCTGTTATTGTTTGAACTGCTAATAAAAGCTTTATTTACAAAAAAAAAAAAAGAAGTATAGATCAGTGTGCTGCAGTGGATGTGGTTTACTTGGATTTTGCCAAGGCTTTTGATACAGTTCCTCACAATGGGTTAGTGTTCAAACTCGGTCTAGAAATCGGTCTAGATGAAAATTCTTCTTCTTGGGTATAACATTGGCTTAAAAATAGAGTACAGAGAGTTGTCATTAATCGTACATTTTCTAACTGGACAGAGGTGGCAAGTGGTGTCCCTCAGGGTTCTGTTCTGGAACCCCTTTTATTTACCATGTTTGCAAATATTCTTGAAAAAAGTATTGAATGTCTCTTATGAGCAAGATAGTACTTTGCTGCAGAGGGATTTAGATAGACTGGGGGACTGGGCACTCAAATGGCAGATGAAGTTTAATGTTAAAAAATGCAAAGTTATGCATTTTGGCGTAAAGAATGCACAAGAAACTTATGCCCTTAATGGGAGCGAATTAGGGATAACAACAAACGAGAAGGACTTGGGCATTGTTATTGACAACAAACTATGTAACAAAGTGCCTGGGCACACCCTAATCCCCGCGGCACGCGCTATGTGCCTCCCTCCATGGGCCGGCGAGGGAGATCAAAGATCTTGTCAGCAGCTCCGCCGGGTTCCTCTCGCGCGGTCGAAGCGTTGCCACCTCGCAAGAGTGAACTCTAGCCCCACAGGCTAGAGTTCACTCTACACTGGACCACCAGGGAAGGCAGGAGCACGGTCCCCACTCCCTACATAAGGTAAGAAGGGAGGGGGGATATTAACTAAACAGCCCCCACACCCCCACATATTACACACAAACATACAGCACACACACATACATCACCCTTACGCACACACACTCTAACAGCACACACTAACAGCACCCTTACACACAGCACCCTTACACACTAACAACACCCTTACACACACACACTAACAGCACCCTCACACTAACGCCCTTACACACACAGCACCCTCACACATACACACACAGTACACACTAACAGCACCCTTACACACAGCACCCTCACACACACAGCACACACTAAAAACACCCTTACACACACACACTAACAGCACCTTCACACTAACAACACCCTTACACACACATCACCCTCACACATACACACACAGCACACACTAACAGCACCCTTACACACAGTACCCTTACACATACACACATTAACAGAACCCTCACACACACAGCACACACTAACAGCACCCTTACATACACACATAAACAGCACCCTCACACACAGCACCCTTACACACACACAGCACACACTAACAGCACCCTTACACACACAGCACCCTCACCCACACACACAAAGCACACACTAACAGCACCCTTACACACACAGCACCTTTACACACACAGCGCCTGCACACACAGCGCCTTCATACAGCACCCTCACACACAGCAGTGTGTGTGTGTGTGTATGTGTATATATGTGTGTGTACATATATATGTATATGTGTGTGTGTATATATATATATATATACGCGGCGTGTGTGTTTCTGCTTTAGGGTGCACACCCTTATAAAATAGGCTGCACACGCCTATGACAAAGTGCAATGTCAATCAGCAGTGGCTAAGGCCAGTAAGGTATTGTCATTCATGAAAAAGGGCATTCATTCTTGGGATGAGAATATAATTTTGCCTCTTTATAAATCACTGGTAAGACCACATATTGAATATGCTGTGCAATTTTGGGCACCTGTTCTAAAGAAGGATATTATGGCACTAGAACGAGTGCAGAGGCAGGCTACAAAATTAATAAAAGGAAAGGAACATTTTAGTTATGAAGGAATGGTTAAGAAATGTAAACCTCTTTAGTTTAGAAAAACTTCACCTCGGAGGGGATATGATAACATTATACAAATATATCCGGGGCCAAGACAAACCATTGTGTGGAAATCTATTCACAAACAGGACTTTACATTGGACACAAGGTCATGCGTTTAGACTGGAAAAAAGATTTAGTCTAAGGCAAAGGAAATGTTTTTTACTGTAAGAACAATAAGGATATGGAATTATCTGCCTGAAGAAGGGGTTTTATCAGAGTCCATACAGATGTTTAAACCGCAACTAGATAAACAGAATATTCAATTATATCATTTTTCAACTGTAGGGTAATAACTGCTTGATCCAAGGATAAATCTGACTGCCATTCTGGGGTCAAGAGGGATTTTTTTCCTAGTTTGTTGCAAAATTGGAATTACTTCAAACTGGGTTTTTTTGCCTTCTTTTGGATCAACAGCAAAAAAAAAAAATGTGAGGAAGGCTGAACTTGATGGACACATCTCCTTTCAGCCTATGTAACTATGACATTATGTAATAGAAAATTCTGGGAATTATCAACGCAAAACTTTTTTCATCTTCCTCAATAGTTCTCAGTCACTTTCTTTTCACTCTATGATTGGCACAGGCTTTAGTATACATTATATAAGGTATTCATTTCTAAGTCCTCTAGCAATAAGAAAGAAGAATAGAAGATAAAGAAGAAATAAAATAAGAACTCTCTTGGCAATCATTTATCTTAAATAAACTGGAACAGAGCTGGTTATTTTAACATACCTGATAAGTATGTCTACACACAACCAAGCTCTGCAGATGAACTACATGACTCAGATACAAAAGATTCTAGAGTTACTAGATTATGGCTTGTTATGCTTGTGCTGTATAGCCAAGCCTTGGGGTTTATCAAGTCCTTTTTGATATATGGATATCATAAGTTGTTTAAGAACGCAAAGAACTTAGCTTTATATTAGCTGCAGAACTTCCCCAAAGCTTATCTTCTTGTTATTCCCGAGCATTACGCAATCAATTTCCCCTCACCTAGAGTGAGTATGTGAGTGGATATGTTGATCATAATGTTGCAAAGCATGAGATTGTGCCAAGGCATTTGAGACAATTCCTCACAAAAAAACTACTTCTAAAACAAAAATCAGTTGATTTAGAGGAGAATTTTCGTTCTTGAATAGTGCAGAGAATATTTGTAAATGTGCAATTTTTAAATTGGACAAAAGTTGTAAGTAGAGTGTTTGAGGATTCAGCCCTAGATCCACTTCTCTTTAATTTGTTTATAAATGATCTTAAAGTGGATATTGAAATTCATTTGTCAGTGTTTGCAGATGACACAATACTAGGTTAAAAAAAAAAAGTCCGAACACGGTATAACATCTCTACAGAGGGATTTGGATAAAGTGACAAGTGGCAGATGAGATTCAATACAGATAAATGTAAAGTCATGCATTTTAGAATAAGTTATTTACAAGCCACATATACATTAAATGTGGTTCAGGGAGGGATAACATTATGGATAAAAAAAAACTGTGCAACAGTGTGCAATGTCATTCTGCCATTACAAAAGCAAGTAAAGTGCTTTTGTGTATAAAAAGTTCTCTTGATTTACATAATCAATATATAATTTTTTTTTTTTTTTTCTTTTTTTTTTTTTTACAAATTAATGGTAAGACACCACCTTGAATATGTGGTGCAGTTCTGGGTACCAGTCTTAAAGCAGGATATTGCAGAACTAGAAAAAGTGCAGAGGTGTGCTACACAAATAATAATGGGGGAGGGTGGAAAACATTAGTTATAAAATAAAGATGGAAAATTTGGATTGTTTTCTTTAGCAATAACAGCAGATATGATAGCAATATACAAATATATACATGGTCAGTACAAACTGCTATGTGCCAAACTGTTTCTTAGCAGGAATGTAAAACAAAAGGTCATCGATTGAGACTGGAATAAAGGCGTTTTCACTTACAGCAAAGGAAAGGGTTTTTACAGTAAGAACAATAAAGATGTAGAATTCTGGAGGGGGCGTGGCTTGGAAGCCGAGGAAGATGGCAGCGTGAAGTCTGAGCTCCCTGTGAGGCTCCAAGCACCCCACCGCCTAGTGCACCTAATTGCCCTGAAAATGGGCAAATCACAACGGGCATCACAAGCCCCAAAACCAACAAACACCCCGAGGGGGAGCGCAACTCCATCCATGAGGCGCTTCCTAGCGACGCCGGCGGACAGGGAGACACAGGCCTCAGAAGAGTCGATGGCCTCGGGAGGGAGAGCGTCGCCTTCACTGTGTGGGGAAGAGTCCCTGGCCGAGACGCCTATACTATACCCCACCGACTCCCACCCGGATTTAATGCACATACTGCGAAATCTGCCCACTAAAACTGACCTGCTGGAGGCAAACAACAGCCTCCGCGCCTCCATCACGGAAGAACTCCAAGCCATGCGGGAAGAATGCTGCGGCCTAAGCCAGAGGATCTCCCAACTGGAGGCAAATCACGACCACGTGCAAGCGGCTCAGACCGCGAACACCGGGATCCTGAGGCGGGCCACCCAGCAGATGCAGCAAATGGCACAACACCTAGAGGACCTCGATAACAGGGGGAGGAGGCAGAACATCAGGGTCCGGGGGATCCCAGAGGAAGCAGACGACGATACCCCAATCCAAGTTACCTTACAAACAGTCTTCAATCAGCTGCTGGGCCGCGCACCACGGGAACCCCTGGAGATGGTGAGAGCGCACCGGGCCCTCAGACCGAAAGGCCCCCCGGGAAGCCAACCAAGAGATGCCATATGCTGCTTGGCAAATTTCCAGCAGAAGGAAGATATCCTGAGGAAGGCCAGAGAGGAAGGTAGGGTGTACCTGGGGTCAGCAGAGATCCAATTGTACCCGGACCTCTCCCCCGCCACCCTGGCGTACCGTAGGTCACTGCGCCCGTTCACCAGACAGCTACAGACGAACAGAGTCAAATACCGATGGTGCTTCCCGACAGGGCTGCTGGTCCACACACACAAAGGCTCCTTTCTAGTGAAGACAGAAGCTGACATGACCGCCCTCGGGAGGGAGCTGCACATCACACCAGCTTTACTGCAGTGGCCAGATCCTCTGGCTCTATATACACCGGCACCTGGACCGGAGACTGGCACGGCGGACACCCAGCTCCCGCGGACCACCCGCAAACAGGCGATGGGCCCGAGAGGACTCTGAACAGAGGGCAGGAAATGCGGCACCCCCAACCAAGCCCCCAAGAGCCCCATTAAAGAACATTTCGGGGAGCCCGTTCCAGGAAAGAGAGGACTAACATTAGCATAAGCACACGGAGTAAACGCAAGTATATTACCCCGGGGTTTACCCGGCCCAAGGGACTAACCATACCAAAGCTCACCTACCAGGACATTCAAATGCTGATGGGGGGGGGGGGAATCAAAGCAACTTGGGAGGTTCAGAGCAACTGCGGGGGAGGGGTACTTGTGGATGGATGGAGGACGGTCGACACGGACCTCCGTGCTCCCCTGGATGAACCTGTGATGACCACACTTGGAGCAGGTGGGGGCACGGAGATTCGTCTCGCCCAGACGTCCAAGAGGAGGAGGAGACAGAGAACACAGGCGCAGGAAGGGACCGGGTATTAGGGGGACAAGACAACCACACACAAACACAAACACCGGGATGACACCCCGGGTAGGGAGGCGAAGTGAGTAGGTCCTGGGAGGGAAGCCACATAGGGCTCCAAGCACTCCAGGGGGATGGCCGGTCGGCTGCTTCCCACTCAGCACCAGGGGGGATGGCAGTAAGGCAACCAGGCCATGAGGCACGGGATAACCAACCGGGTTCGCTTGCTCATGTATATAGGTTTGGGGGGGGGGATGTTTCTCTCTTCCACTGGGAAGTTGGTTTACAGTTGAAAACACGGTTGCACCAACCAAGTTTCCACAGCAGTAAAGATGTCACACATGTTCTAGGCGAAGTTGCACACTCAATGCACATTCGCAAGCGGAGCCACACGGGGCGAGACGTCAGACGTAAGTCATTCACACACGAATAGACCAGACCAAGGGCCTGGGTATTCCCTCCACCCCCATAAGGGTTGAGCGCCAAAGTTAAGAGCGGCCTACTCGGCTGCCCAGACGCTGATACCTTAACGCTGCACGCGCGGCGGATACACACGGACACATCCGTATACACACTAACACCAGACCAAAAACCCCAATCGCGGGACAGCTCGGGTCCGGGACCTGCAGACACCCCTCAAAATATGTCACTAATACCAGCTAACCTCACTATAGTCACCATAAACGCAAGGGGTCTAAACAAACCTGAAAAGCGGTCGGCAGCCCTCAAAGAATTTCACACTACAGGGGCCTCCATTGTATATATCCAAGAGACACACTTTAGGGAAGGGGCAAGGCCGAAGTTACAAAACCATCACTATCCCATAGGATACTATAGCGATTACCAGGGGGGGAAGGCACGGGGAACGGCGATACTAATTCATAGGGGAACACCCTTCCAGGAGCAGGGACTACAGACTGACCGGGAAGGCAGATACGTTCTTGTCAAAGGCACGATAGCGGGACAAATGTATACATTTGCCAATATATATGCTCCCAACCAACGACACTATAGATTCATGTCAGGAATCCTTCGCAAGGTACAGGAGTTCGCGGAGGGAATCCTGGTGGTAGGAGGGGACCTTAATTTAGCATTGGACCCGAAATGGGACTCATCCACAGGCAGATCACATATCCCAACACAACACTTGACCGCACTCAAAACTCTCATATCCAAATACAAACTGGTAGATAGCTGGAGAGCCCACCACCCGGATGAGAGGGACTATACGTACTTCTCACATCCACACAACACATATACCAGAATTGACTACTTTCTACTCACACATCATCACCTGCCACTAGTCACACAGGTGGAACATGGCACTGCAACATGGTCAGACCACGCCCCCGTAACCCTCAAGCTAATGTCCCCACTCTACAGACCAAAAGTGGCGAAGTGGCGCTTAAACGAATACCTCCTCTCAGTACCGGAGGTTAAAAATGACATCGGAGCAATCCTCCGAGAATACTTCGCCATAAACACACCAGACCACACCTCCCCAACCATCATGTGGGAGGCACATAAGAGCGTGATCAAAGGTCATTTCCTCCAAAAGAGCGCCACCATGAAAAAACAGAGGGAAGCGGCCATGAACAACACACTGACGAAAATAAGGGAGCTAGACACACTTAACAAAAATAAACAGACGCCTGAACTGCAGGGACAACTGCTCACATTGCGCAGGGAACTCACTAAAATACTCCAGTCAAGGTACCACCGAGACGCGCTACGACACAAGGCGTTTTTTGCCTTACACGGCAATAAGAGCGGCAGGCTGCTGGCGCGCATGCTGACCAAACGTAGGCAACAGACCTACATTGACAGGATTAGAGACAGCACAAATACACTACACAGACTACCTCGGAAGATACAGGAAGTCATACGGGCGTACTATGAAAATCTATACGCTCTCCCAGGGCCACAGGACCACCGGGCGGACTCACACCTAACAGACTCCATCGCAGAATATCTGACCGCACACTCGATGCCCACCCTAGACAGGGACACGGCTGAGTCCCTAGACGGGGAGATAACACAGGAGGAACTAGCAGCAGCCGTGAAACAAACAAAACCCGGCAGAAGCCCGGGCCCAGACGGCCTGCCGCTCTGTTACTACAAGGCATATGCAGACATCCTCTACACCCCACTCACACTGACATTCAACGCTATCAAAGAGGGACACCACTTCCCTAGGCAATCTCAGGCAGCACACATCACAGTACTCCCTAAGGAGGGCAGGGATAGGGAACAATGCGGAAGTTACCGCCCCATCTCTCTCATAAATAATGACTTAAAACTATTAGCCAAAATCCTGGCGACCAGACTGCAGATACATGTGCCCAACCTGGTGCACCCTGACCAGGTGGGATTTGTGATGGGGAGGGAAGCACGTGACAACACAATACGCACCCTCACACTGATACACGGGAAAAGGAGGGCCAGGGAAGGCCTTCTCCTGCTATCCACGGATGCGGAGAAGGCCTTCGACAGGGTGGGGTGGAGATATCTCTTCCAGACTCTGACCCACCTCGGGCTGGGCCCAGGTGTCAGGGGATGGATAGAGGCTCTATACCAGCAACCTTCCGCGCAAGTGGTAGTTAATGGAGCCCTGACGGAGCCGTTCGACATACGGAACGGCACACGCCAGGGCTGCCCCTTGTCCCCGATCCTCTTCGTCCTAGCTCTGGAGCCCCTGCTGGTGGCCATCAGGAACAACACGGACATCACGGGGCTGCAGACGGGAACGACACACCACAAAACAGCAGCATATGCTGATGACTTGTTGTTCTACGTAACCAACCCAGAAATTTCTCTCCCCAATATCTTGAAGGCATTCCAGGAATTCGGCAGACTCTCCAATTTTAAAATAAACCTCTCCAAATCATTTATACTCAACATTAACATCCCAGAACGCAGAGCGGAACCCCTGCGCCAACACTACTCCTTCCAATGGGCAACACATAAAATTAAATATCTAGGCATCTGGCTAACAAAACGGGAAGGGGATCTATATAAGGAAAACTTCACAGTAATGCATGAGAAGATGCACTTGGAGATGCAGGAGTGGGCATATCCACATATTTCCTGGCTAGGCAGGATACAAGTAGTGAAGATGAACTTTCTACCACGCCTTCTCTACCTGTTCCAAACTATACCCATAACGGTCCCCAGAGCGTTCTTCACCACATTACGCTCAGCCCTCATCAAATATGTCTGGAACGGGAAACGGCCCAGGCTGCGCCACACACTACTCACACAACCAAAAGACAGGGGGGGACTGGCACTGCCAGACTTCAACCTATACTATAGAGCATGCCATCTCATGAGAATCATGGAATGGACCAAAACGGGAACACAAAAACAGTGGAAGCAAGTGGAGGAACACGAGGCGGGCGTCCCGGTGGCAGTCCTACCGTGGCTGCCACCCGGGGCCCAGACGGGGGAAGGGTCTCAGTCCCCCTACACGAGGGCAACCTTAAGGGAATGGCACTGCTCCAAAGGGAGACATGGCCTAACATCATACCCGACACCATTAATTCCCCTGACACACAACTCTGAGTTCATGCCGGGGATGGACTCGAACGCATTTAAAGACTTAATACAGGACCCGCTACCCAGACTCAGACACATACAAACCACTGACGGCATAAAGACACTCAAGGATCTGAGGGGGAACGAAGAACACACTTTCCTAATACGCCTCAAATACAAACAGATCCGGAGTTACATTACATCCCTCCCGCAGGGACCGGCACTACATAGGGCCACCACGCCCTTCGAGAATTTATGCTTGGAACCCAACCCACTAGCACATGGGGTATCGGCACTATACACCCTATTAATCACACTCACACCAATTGCCCAACCACGGTTCATGGGGAAATGGGAGGAGGCACTGGGCCAGACCTTTGACAAAGTGGAATGGGAGAAAATTTGCTATCTAACGCATCACTGCTCTAGCTACAGCAAGACACAGGAAACGGCATATAAACTACTGACACACTGGTACCACACTCCTGAGTCACTACATGCCCGAATTCCATCCCACCCCCCACAGTGCTGGAGATGTGGGGAGGGCAGGGGCACACTCTTACACATCTGGTGGGCATGCAAGCAGATAGCCCCATTCTGGTCTGAGATCCACAAAATATTGGCAAGGTTTACAGACGACCAAGTCCCATTCGACCCAGCAGTCATGCTCTTACACCACACTAAAACCCCTCGAACAGCTTATAAGAGGTCACTCACTATCCGCATACTGAACACGGCCAAAATGATCATACCACAGTATTGGAAAACACAGGTCACCCCCCCCGTGAGAGTTTGGTTTACGCAAATGGAAGAACTGAGATCCCTAGAGGAACTACATCACAAAGCCCACGATACATTCCAAGTGTACCTTAACACTTGGACACATTGGATCCTGAAGACAACAGACCCCGAATTTAGTGACATGACACAACTACCATCACATAATTAGCTGCAGGAGGCTACAAACCCAAAGAGGAGAGGGGAAGACAGCCATACAGGGGCAGGTCTACCTCCGGCAACGGGTGTTCACCGACACTGGAAGGCCCGACAAACACACAAAAAGACAAGAGAGGCCCTGTCACATAGACGAGGAGACCACCCCAACTAAATAGGGCACCCCAAAGAGGGGAGGGGGGGCGGATCATAGGGCCCGGGCTGTCCCGCGACACTCTCACAAACAGGCACGAGCAACGGAGACATACACACACACGCAACATCCATAAGGGACTTATGAAACTGACGTAATTGCGGGCATACGAGCCCAACAGGACATGCAACTGTACAAAATATATAAGAAAGAGTGTAGATGATATGCTTGTTATGTTTGTCATCTATCACAGTTATATATACATGGTTAAACTAATGGAGACCTGCGAGTCTCAATGGGCTGGCATTTGCTATGTGAACACACCGTAAGACAACAACGGAGACCTGCGAGTCTCAATGCTATGCCTTTCTCTTTGTGTGCATGAAATATGCCAATAAAAATATATTTACAAAAAAAAAAAAGATGTAGAATTCTCTAGCCAGTGAGGTTGTCTTATCACATTCTGTAGATAGTTTTATTTACACAAACTGGTTGTTTATCCAAAGAGAAATTTGATTGCCTTTATGAAGTCTTCTTTTGATCAACAGCATAAACAGACGTGTTTTAAATGTTTAATGTGAAGGATTTGAGTCTTTTTCATCCTAGATCACTACGTGACTGTGATAAAATGGATATTACCATTGTACTAAACATAAAATACAAAAATTTCCAACAGTATCATAATGCTGTATTAGCCAGAGTAATACGTTACAGTTTCAAAGTGTCATTCACATTATTCAGTTCCCTTGTAATAGTGACATAGAAAGTTGAATACACCTGCTGTGCTCATCTGAAATTGTTCTTCCGGCAGTCTGATAGTTTGCACCTTTATATCTAACTTGCACATCATGCAGTTGCCATGGAGCAGAGGGATATGTGTTACATTGTTATTTAAAATTCTTATTTATGGATGATCTGCCTAATCAATCAATTGTCTTGTTTACCACCTGATAGCACATATATTGTTTATGTACATTAAGAGTAATATATAATCACAACGGTTACCAATCTTACACCTAGTCTCATTCATGTATACTACAAAGAATGTAATTCATGAACCAAGAACTATGCAAATTGTCTGTACTGCCTAACCGTAGTAGTTAAGCCTTGGTGCTTTTGTAATATTTTATGATGCAAAGCCTACCCCTCCCCCCATTTTCCTTTCTGCACCCCCCCTTTCTTTTTTGTCTGAAAAATTATAAAAAAAATTAAATTGGAAAAAAAAGAGTAATATATAATTGTAAATAAATGTATTCATTGGATAAAGTATGGTATATAAAACACATTCATATTAAAATACATTCCAATAATATAAAAAAACAAAACTATGTTGAACTTTTTATTAAAAATATTATGCACAAGGGTATACAGCAAGTATATACCTCAATGTGGATAATAGCAATACAATAAAGAAAATGTTAAATATAGACTAAAGCACGTCATTTTCCTATACACTCTAAAATGTGTACTTTTAGTGATAACATGTTCGATCCACACTATGAATACTATAGCCATGTACGAATAGATAAACTATAATAAAGAGCCCCAGGAGATGAATTAATCAATTTTATAGATGTTTCACATGAGCAGTAAAGTGTATTTCATTTTCTATCTAAGTGCATGTATCGTAGCATCCAAGCTTAAAACATCATTTCATTTTACCTTTCAATCAGATACATATGTCTTGGTTCACTTACAAGATAAGTACAAAAAGTACATTGTGTCCCATCCCCCTCTACCTTTCCTAAAACCCCTCTTCCCAATAATTTCCTCTTTTCTTCTTTTTCTTGTTTTTTTTTACTATGTGTATAAAGAACCAGTTCTTTCCTTTCTAGCCATGACAAGCTAAGTATATCTTCTTAGGTGTAAAAGGTCCTGACAATCTATGGCCTTGATTTAATAAGCTTTCCAAATGATTCAATACTGTTACATAAACATTCCAAATGGTTTAACTACAAAAATTCCCATATACACTAATAGTGACTTAATTAGATAAATTATTTGTAAAGTTTTTCTAACATTCTTGCATCATTTGAAAAGCTTATTATATCGTGGCCAATGTAAGAAGACTAGTTTCTTGAGATGGTATGAGAGATGGGGCCAAAACAGACATTCAAGTCAAGAGTCCAACTTTACAATGTTTGTTAGTCCTCACACTAAATCCAATATAGTGTCTGGTATTTTACACAGGTAATGGACCTTCATGTATATTTCCTCTGCTCACATCCCCTGGTTAGGTACCTGAACTTGACTTGCTACACACTGACAAATACACAGACACACACTCACTAACTGCTAAAACACACACAGACACTGACCAATACACAGACACACACTCACTAACTGATAAAATCATACACAGACACTGATAAATACACAGACACACACTCACTAACTGATAAACACACACAATGAACCCTATACACAGACACTGACCAATACACAGACACACACTCACTAACTTATAAAAACACACTGAACCATTAACACAGACACTGATCTATACACAGACACACTCACTAACTGATAAACACACACAATGAACCATACACACAGACACACACTCACTAGCTAATAAAAATACACTGGACCATTCACACATACACTGACAAATACACAGACACCTACTCACTAACTGATGAACACACACACTGAACCATACACACAGACACTAACCAATACACAGACACACACTCACTAACTATTAAAAACACACTGGACCATTCACACAGACACTGACCAATACACAGACACACACTCACTAACTGATAAACACACACAGAATACCATATACACAGGCACTTTCCCATAAATACACACTAACTAACACAAACAAACTGACACACATTCACTGACCCATACCTATTGACATTCATATACTGGCACACAATCACTCATAGACACACTGACACAGGTAGGGGTTGAGTGTAAGACAGAGATATTTGGAGGCTGTCATGGCCTCTATCTTTTACTAAATTAATATTGTGTGTGGAGCGCAGAGAACCATGAGGGCTCATTATCAGAGACAAATTCTGCAATGCTCCCTCATAGTACAATTCAAATAAAGATATGCTGTCCAGCACCTTTAAGACCAGGCGCCGGTAACAGCTGCCCCTCCCCTTCACTATGCCTCTTAGCACCATAGCCAGCACAGAAAGCGATATAATTCAATTCCTTTAATTTCACTTTTTGCTCTCTTTATGAAATTGTATAAGAGCCCTGCTTCTAGTTTCTTGTTTAAAGGAACACTATAGTCACCTAAATTTAGCTAAATAAAGCAGTTTTAGTGTAACATTCCCTGCAATTTCACTGCTCAATTCACTGTCATTTAGGAGTTAAATCACTTTGTTTCTGTTTATGCAGCCCTAGCCACACCTCCCCTGGCTATGATTGACAGAGCCTGCATGAAAAAAAACTGGTTTCACTTTCAAACAGATGTAATTTACCTTAAATAATTGTATCTCAATCTCTAAATTTAACTTTAATCACATACAGGAGGCTCTTGCAAGGTCTAGCAAGCTATTAACATAGCAGTGGATAAGAAAATCTTAATTAAACAGAACTTGCAATAAGGAAAGCCTAAATAGGGCTCTCTTTACAGGAAGTGCTTATGGAAGGCTGTACAAGTCACATGCAGGGAGGTGTGACTAGGGTTCATAAACAAAGGGATTTAACTCCTAAATGGCAGAGGATTGAGCAGTGAGGCTGCAGGGGCATGTTTTATACACCAAAACTGCTTAATTAAGCTAAAGTTGTTTAGGTGACTAAAGTGTCCCTTCTTAAAGTAGCTTAAGGTTGATTTCAAGGTGTATTTTGGATTATTTTCTTCAGCAATTTTTTCACTGACTGTGGGACATCAAAGTGGGCGATATATTTAGCCACATTTAAATAATAAATAAAATAAATAAATAAAATAATTATTTGGTCAGCAGTTCCAAAACATTTTCATTTCACTGTATTAAAAATAGTCAAAAAAGCATAAATTATCCTATTAGATAATTTCACTTGTTAACTTTCATTCGCAAAAGATGACATTGTAAACTGAAATCTTTAGACTAAAATAGCCAAACTGTGATTATAGCTGAATTGGCAACTTTTTCAAAATTAGCAATTTTCTGTTCTGTTTTCAGTTTACTAAAATTTGAATTAAACCAAAGTCTCTGCATCACTTAAGTTATATTTAAACAGCAGATTTGGATTTATAAAAGTGGAAAAATAAGCATTGTCTAATATTGTTTTAAAATCTCTAGCTTTTAAAGAGACACTCTAAGCACAAAAAACACTTCATCTTAATGAAGTGGTTTTGGTGTAATGACCCTGCACCTTCTCTCTGGCAGTGAGAAAAAGCAAAGTTTACATTTTGCCTAAACCACATTATACTCTTCTCATGAGCCTTGACTCTGTGCAGTTCCTGTCTGCGGCTCTGATAGGCAGAACTAACAGGAGGAAAACGCTCAGGCTTAACCCTGCGAAACTGAAGGAAAGAGTCTGCATATCCCATTCATGTCAGAGAAGGCTGCCCTGGTCCAGTCAGGGAGATCTTTGATCTCACCACTGGGCCTGCTCGCAGCTGTACATACAGTTGTAATCAAAGGTATTTAACTCCCATTTAAAATCAGGTTTATTGTCACATTTATAGACTTTTAGCTGTTTGCAATGAACAAATCACACAAAAGCTATTGAAATACCTCAGGACAACGACTGCTTCAATTGGCTTCCCCAAGTTCAACTGAAAATGCGGAGGAACTACACACTTGGAATTCCTACTACATCTCCTGGCTGGGCAGGGTGAATGCGGTCAAGATGACACTGCTGCCCACACTCCTATTCATCTTTTAAACGGTGCCGATTCTAGCCCTGAAATCATTCTTCGTCACCCTAAAGGCAGAAGTTCGCAAATTTATTTGGAAGGGCAGATCACCCTGAGTAGCATACTCCTAACTAACACTACCCAAACTCTGGGGCGGACTAGCGCTTCCTGATTTTGAGAAATACTACCAAGCGACCCACCTCACCAGGATCATCAGGTGGTCAGTAACAGGGGGCACCAAACCATGGACCCAGCTAGAATCGGACACCGCCACCTGCCGTGGATTATCAAAGAAGCATGAAAACGCATACAAATACCCAACCCGTTCCCAGATATACTCCGACCTAATAACGAGCAGATACCTTCTGGCACCCTCCTGCATCAGGCAATGGGAGCAGGACCTTGGGGAGACAATGACAGAGGCGCATTCGAACAAGATCATAACCCATGTGCAGAAAACACTAGGATCGGCGAGGCTACAAGAAAACTCATACAAAATCTTCACATGGTGATACCTGACTCCGTCGACCCTCCATGCAAGAGACCCTATGATCCCTGATACCTGCTGGCGATGTGAGGAGGCTGCAGGCACCTTCACACACATATGGTGGAGCTGCACCCTCATCAGGCCCTTCTGGGAGGCAATCCGAAAAATGATACAGGAAATGACGGATGAATCCCTACCACAATCACGGGTCATCTTCCCCCACACCACAACACTATGCCAACACCGGCATACACACAGTCCATCATCCCGAGACTTCTCAACACTGTTAAGGCGACCATACCCATCTTCTGGAGACAGACCCATAGGCCCATGCTGAGACGATGGGGAGGACACAAGGCAATTCGAAGACATGAATTGTGACCACCCCGAAACTCAGAGACAGCTACACAAAACGCTGGTTTCACTGGCTACGCCTTATTTCCTCAGATGACTTCATGCAATACATTACCGACCGTGAGCAGTTGCAGAGGAGAGGGAAACACTGGGCTCGGGCGAATTCAGAGTGAACCACGCGGCACGGCGGGCTGGGGAGGTGACAGCGGATGCTGCCACCCCCAACCCCCACCCACCCCTCACTCTTCCCATCCCCACACAGATCCCCCCCTCCAGGATACGGACATACTCCACGCAGATTGGCGACACCTGTGTCCGGCTGCGGCTCGGGAGCTCCTAAATAGACTACGACACCACTGCCCAGGGACCCTGGCACCATACAATATGGCCCCACACCACCTAAAGATAGCCAGCACACCACCACCGCCCCATGACACACTATGGGAACTCAGGGCGCCATCAGCAACACACACGATCCTTTTCAGATTAACTATCCAACACACTTCCCGAAATTTCCACAACAGCAACTAATTAAGGTTGACTATGGCGGAAATTCTCGGATACACTACCGAACTATTTGTTTCACTCCACAATGATAACCAGAGAACGGAAAGGGCAAAACTTTACAGTTCAATAAGAGTTTTTCGAAGTTAGTCGCAAAGGACCACTGTTTATGTTTCCTGCATTATTTGACGTACATACATTTTATCCCCGGCGTGGGAATCTTGTTTGATGTTAAGGCAATGAAGATAGATTTAACACAATCACTTAAAATCTGAACGCCCACTACCACCATAGCGCTAAACACACCAAGGCCCCAGGGACCAAACATAAGGTACCAAAGACTCTGAAAAACCTGAGAAATACGGAATATACAGCACCTCCCTTAATACTCTCATACCCGCACTTATCTAAAGACAACATGACAACACCGTTCATTACAGGAGCAAGTGATATGCGACATTACGACAGACACAAGGGGAATGGTAAAGACGCAAGTGTTGAAAATGAAGTATTACTACAAATGTTTTCCGTATAACCTGCACTGTATATGCTCTTTCCACCTCGTGGGAACACTGTTACTCTGATAAATGTTACTTACGACCTCTGCGCAGGTCACATTATGAGACGCTTATGTATATTGCATCACTCTGATTTTACGTTCACTAACAGCACAATAAAGAATAATTTAATACAAGATCAACTGAAAATGCAACTTTTAATGACTTCTCCAGTCTCAAAATTATTCAACCCCTTCATGGCAAGTATCTATAGTAGCACCATTTTGCTGTTATGACCTGCTGTAAACGACATGCATAGCCAGACACCAGCTTCTGCCAGTGTTCCTGAGGAATCTTAGCACATTGTACATGAGCAATGGCCTCCAGTTCAGTAATATTGTTGGGTTTGCGCGTTGCAACCACCTTCTTCAAATCCCACCAGAGATCTTCGATGGGGTTCGCGTCAGGTGACTGATGGTCACTGTAGAATTTTCTAGGACTTCTTCTTCAACTAAGCCTTGAATTTTCAATGGTGGTTGAATCATATTTTTATTACAACTCTATATAGTAGTGCTCAATATTTATATATTTAAATAAAAACAAATCCAAATGCCTGCACCCCAGTACAAGTAAACAGTGTGCCCGGTGGTTGTCCGCAGGAATATATAAAAATAGGATAATGATAGCACTCCAAGGACTAGTATGTAGTAAAAATAAAACTTAACTTTTATTCAGGTTGAAGGCTGGTAAAAAATGTCGACGTTTCAGTTCAAGAAGAACGTCCTGAAGAAAGTTCAGAGTCTTGAACTGAAACGTCGACATTTTATACCAGCCTTCAACCTGAATAAAAGCTAAGTTTTATTTTTACTGCATGTTAGTCCTTGGAGTGCTATCATTATCGTATTTTTGTGTGTATATATATATATATACACACACACAACACACACCATATAGGACTCAGGCAGTATGTCAAAGATTGGCGTTAGAACTGCTCCCTATATTCATAAAAATAGGTTACATTTAAAACACTGTTGTGGTTTTTCGCTAAATGCAATATTGTAGTGAATTCAGCTCAAAATACCCAGCCTGAGTCTAAAGCTGGGTTAGAGAATATTTCAAGATCAGTTATTGCAGGCTACATTTTGCCATTTGTATTTTAATTTGTAACAATACAGAGCTTTGTAAATATACCTGTCGGCTTTATTTACTAAATAAAGGAAATCAAATAAAAGAATGTGACTGAGAAATTTCACCATCTCAGCTATATTCAGCTTAGCTATTTTGGACATAGGAATAATAGAAAGATGGAAGGGGACTGCCAATTTAGTCCAAAAAGAAGTGATCTAGACAATGTTTTTAGTTTGCCAGTTTTCTACTCAGTTTAGGATTCATGGAGGATTCATTAAAAGTTATGACTCATAACTGCTATGTAAGTTTGGTCACTGAGACAGAGCTATTATGTTGTATCTCATGCTAAGGGGTCTTGTGATACTTTGATCACAGCAATAAAGATTTTCTTTCATGTGTGAGAAACCGATTTAGCATTCGGACAATGGTGGGAAGATTAAATAGAAGTTAACCGCAGACCAATGGGCGTGGGATAGGGGGAAAGTGAGAGTAACTGACGGATCTTAATTCAACTAAATCAAGACACAAATCATTTTTAGGATTTTGGCATTTTTCTTTTTGCTGAAGTTCTCTAAAAATGCTTTCAGTTTTCTCTCTTTTTACTTCTGAGAAAAATGGGTGTGAGTGAAAAAGAGAATGAGACTGATGGTCTCATTAAAGTGTGGATTATTGGGAAAAAAATTAAGTTAACTTTTTAGGCCAACTGAAAACGTAGCCGGCTCGGAGGATTACTCTTGTTTTGGATATGTTAGTCTGTAATTTGAAAATAATTTTTTAGAGCAGTTCGCACTTTAGTGAACAGCCTGGTAGAGTAGAATGCATTTACTACACAAGGAAGTGTGGAGAATTGGCAACATAATGGCATTTTTTAGTCAATTCAAATCAATTCAGTTCTACAAATTCTAGGTCACTGAATAGCCCAAAGTGACTTACAGCTTTAGTTTTAATCTCTACATTTTGGCAGTGCCTTAAATAGCCAAAAACTGATGGAACTAAACCATGTGAAATTATAATTGCATATATTTGGCAATTAGGCAATATTATATTTTTCCAGTTAAATGGATATTATAAACAACGAAACAACTTTAGTTTAATTAAGCAGTTTTGGTGTATAGATCATGCCCCTGCAGTCTCACTGCTCAATTCTCTGCCATTTAGGAGTTAAATGACTTTTGTTTCTGTTCATGCAGCCCCAGCTACATCTCCCCTGACCAGTGGCGTCACTAGGGGGGCCAGAGGGGGCCATGCCCCATTGTCCCCCCCAAATGCCAGCAACTTGCTGGCCATGTGTTTAAATTCTATTCCCTCGGACTGTAACAGTCTGTTACAGCCAGAGGGAATGCCGTGCTGGGTGTCTGTGGAGAGATGCTGGGGCACTGACAAGCTTCCCGGCACAGGCCCCGCCCCAAATTAAGCCCAGCCCCTGCCGTTAAGCAGCAGACCTTGCTGCTGCTGGAAAGGCCAGAAGATGGCTGTCTGAATGCCCAGCAACAGCCTCCAGTGGCAGGTAGGCTTGGTGTGTGTGTGAGTGTGTGTGTGGGTGTGTGTCTGTCTGTCTGCCTGCTAGTGAGGAAACTTGTGTGTCTATGGTCTCAGCTGTCTGTGTGTCTGTGTGTGTGTTTGTGTATATGGACTGTGTATATAAATACAGTGTCAACTATGGCACTGTATCAAGGGAAATGTGTTTCTTTTTTAATAATCCCTGGTGGAAAATAATGAATCCTCCACGAGGGATTATTTAAAAAAAAACAAAAAAAAACACAGACATTGTGTCGGGGGTGGGGCTTAACATGTGGCGGGGTCAAACTGCAGCGAGGGCGGGGTTAAATGTGCCCCCCTACTTTTGTCCCTGGCCCATCATGTGCCCCCCCTAAAAATGAATCCTAGAGACGCCACTGCCCCTGACTGTGACTCACATTGACTGTATTATTGTTTTGATGCCTGTAGTTTCCCTTTATAAAGCTTGCAATGTTATTTCCAATAATCAACCCAATATGTGCTCCAGCTTTGATTGTGTCCTGTAATCGAGAGATTGTGTGTAGACAGTGGCTGGCTATTTCTGCATTTCTATAAAACCGATTTCCATACCGTAACGTGTCATTTGATATTAAGATGTTACATTTGGTAAACATTTTCTGTACTATTTCCAGATGAGTTTCACCATCAGGTAGCTCGTACAGCAAAAAGCAGAAATGAAAATGTTGCAGATGAATCTCATAGATTTGAGATAATTTAACTGTACTTAAATCTTAATTGTAACAGGGGCCTCACAATTAAATGTTGTTTACTATTCTCTTCCAAAGTATTTTCAGCTCATGGGGTACAGCTTTGTCTTTATTCTGTTCTCCATTGGTTCTTGAGATGTGCTTGTTTCCTAGCAACACACTTTTTTGCTGAGATAGTTTTACTTTACCCCACGATCTAATTTGCATGTGATTGTCCAGAATTCTTTGTTCCTATATTCTCTCTCACACATGGCTGTACATAAGCATTAGAAGGGGGGGGGGGGCGAGGGGGGGAATCAAAAGCTTTTATGTGATGTTCAGAGTTGAACAAAGAACAACTTACAATGTAATTCTAAACCAGCAGCAATGAGGAGATTTTGAACCAGAAAAGTGAATACATATGATCCTTCTAAGCCACCATATGTTGTGTATATTTTCTGTAAATTTTTGTTAATTTGCTATTCAATAGGGTACGAGACAGTTACATTTTATACGATGAATTAGAATAATCACATCTTTGCTGTCAGTTTTCACAAAAGCTGATTATACATTAAATGACCACTATAGGCACCCAGACCACTTCAGCTTAATGTAGTGGTCTGGGTGCCAGGTCCATCTAGGGTTAACCCATTTTTTCATAAACATAGCAGTTTCAGAGAAACTGCTATGTTTATCAATGTGTTAAGCCTTCCCCTATTTCTTCTAGCGGCTGTCTCATTGACAGCGCTAGAGGCGCTTGCGTGCTTCTCACTGTGATTTTCACAGTGAGAGCACGCGAGCGTCCATAGGAAAGCATTATGAAAGCTTTCCTATGTGACCGGCTGAATGCGCGCGCAGCTCTTGCCGCGCGTGCGCATTCAGCCGACGGGGAGGAACGGAGGAGGAGAGGAGGCAGAGCGCTCCCCGCCCAGTGCTGGAAAAAGGTAAGTTTTTACCCCTTTCCCCTTTCCAGAGCCGGGCGGGAGGGGGACCCTGAGGGTGGGGGCACCCTCAGGGCACTATAGTGCCAGGAAAACGAGTATGTTTTCCTGGCACTATAGTGGTCCTTTAACATACTATGGACACATAAACCCAACAGATACATTTTTGAATGTCACATCTAATTTAGACTAGAATTTAAAGGTAAAGGGTTACTCCAGGCACCATAACCACTTCACTGATTTGAACATTTAAAGGGTTACTCCAGTCTGTTATAGTAGTCATGATGACAGGAGTACCCTGCAACTATTCCCCAGGAAGGGGGCAAATTAATGTTTCCACCGGGTGCCGCGCCTCCTGTCATAACAAAGTGAACCAGCATCCAGCTTCTGCAGAGATGCAGAAGTCAGTTATTGATAATGGCGTTCATTGGCTGAGAGTGCCAGCTATAAACATATGCACAGAATTAACATTAGATCATTCCGGGCTAGCAGCAGTCGGAGGTAGAGTTTCAGGCTCCCGCTCTCCGACCTCCTTCCCTTGCACTTCCAGGGCACGTCTCCTTCTCTTCATGGAGGAGTCGCTCCAATGTGCGCCCTCCTGTTCTCCATGGCCCACAAATTAACATTCATGGACTGGCAGCATGTCTCCTGGTCTCAAGCAGAACAGCATCCCGTTCTTTCGTTCTAACTGTATTTTAAAATTAATATATATATTGATATCAACATACATGTAGAACGAAACAATATATATATCTATATACATAAGTATATACATATATATCACTATATATATACCTTTATATAAATAAAAAAATTTTTACAAAATATATACATATATATATATATATATATATATATACACACATATATATACACACGTATATATATAATAATTCTACGTATATATTTATGTAATAATTTTACATAATTAGGTCATTTTGTTAATTACAATTTGCAGGACCTGCCTGACAACCCAGGCTGAAGGTTTAGGGAATTTAATTTGCTAGCACTATATTTAACCCTGTAACTTTCCAAGACACAATAAAACCTGTACATGGGGTGTACTGTTTTACTCGGAAGACTTCACTGAATACAAATATTAGTGTTTTGAAACAGTAAAATGTATTACAACTACAATATCGTCAGTGACAGTGAAATTTTTTGCGTTTTTCACACACAAATGGCACTTACACTGACGATATAATTGTTGTGATACATTTACTGTTGAAACACTAATATTTGTGTTCAGCGAAGTCTCCCGAGTATAACAGTAACCCTCATGTACAGGTTTTATGGTGTTTTCAAAAGTTACAGAGTCAAATATAATGCATGCGTTTCAGTTTTTTTACATTAAAATTCGCCAGGTTGGTTATGTTGCTTTTGAGACCGTACGGTAGCCCAGGAATGAAAATTACCCCCATGATGGCATACCATTTGCAATAGTAGACAACCCAGGGTATTGCAAATGGGGTATGTTCAGTCTTTTTAAGTAGCCACTTAGTCACAAACACTGGCCAAAATTGGTGTTCAAATTAGTTTTTTGCATTTTCAAATATTATCACTAACTTTGGCCAGTGTTTGTGACCAAGTGGCTACTAAAAAAGACTGGACATACCCCATTTGCAATACCTTGGGTTGTCTACTTTTGCAAATGGTATGCCATCATGGGGGTAATTTTTATTCCTGGGCTACCATATGGTCTCAAAGGCAACATAACCAATCTGGCGAATTTCAATGTGAAAAAAATGAAAAATTTAACATGCTATATTTAACCCTAGGCATGTGCATGGGGAAAGTTTTCGGTTCGGTTCGGTATTCCAAAATTCAGGATTTTTGCAATTCGGGACTTCGGCAATCGGGTACTTCAACACTTCGGCAACTTCGGAACTTCTGCACTTCGGCACGTCGACACTTCGGAAATTCGGCAACTTCGGAACTTAGGGACTTCGGCACTTTGCAGCCACTTAGTAGATAACTCCCTAATTCCCACGGTATTAATGAGTTATCTAACAAAAGGCTGAAAGACCTAAATTGGTCTTTCAGCCAAATTTACTAGTACTAAGTAAAAATTACTTAGTATTAGTAAATTTTGCCCCTACTCGCTATACCGCAAGTAGGGGCATGTCTAGTAAACAGTGAGCAGCCTGTGGCCTGTGGCTGCTCACTGTTTTAAAAAAAAAAAAAAAAAATAGCGGTGGGTGGGGGCCCTAAAGTAAAATGATGGGGGGGACCTATTGTCCTCTCCCCGGCCCCCACCCCTCAGTGGCGGGTGGGGGCCCTAAATTGGAATAAGGGGGGGACCTAATGTCCTCCCCCCTGGCCCTCACCCCTGAGCGGTGGGTGGGGGCCCTAAATACTAATAAGGGGGGACCTAATGTCCTCCCCCCTGGCCCCCACCCCTGAGCGGTGGGTCAGGGCCCTAAATACTAATAAGGAGGGGACCTAATGTCCTCCCTTCTGACCCCCACCCCTGAGCGGTGGGTGGGGGCCCTAAAAACTAATAAGAGGGGACCTAAGGTCCTCTCCCCTGGCCCCCACCCCTGAGTGGTGGGTGGGGGCCCTAAATACTAATAAGGTGGGGGACTTAATGTCCTCCCCCCTGGCCTCCAACCCCGAGCGGCAGGTGGGGGCCCTAAAAAAAATGTCCTCCTCCCCTCCTCCCCTAGTCACCCCCTCCCCCGTCAAAAAAATTATCCCCCTACCTACCCCCCTCACCCTAAAAATAATGAGGGGGGGGGACCTTTAACTAAGTACCTGTAAAAAGAAATAAAACTTACCATTCGATGTTTTCTTTCTTCTAAAATCTTCTTTTTTCAGCCCCAAAAAAGGCCAAATAAAAAACCATAATAACCGATGCAATTAAAAAAAAAACTTACTTAATCCACCAATCAGAGAGTTATGAGTCAAATTACACAGCATGGGAAAATTCCAAAGAACTTTCCCACGCTGTGTAAAATGACACAGAGCACTCTGATTGGTGGATTTCAAGCCAACCAATCAGAGTGCTGTGACAGGTAAATGTAGAGACTTACCTGTCAGTCCCTTCATTTACCTGTCAGAGCACTCTGATTGGATGGCTTCAACCCACCAATCAGAGTGCTCTGAGCCTAACTGCAGGGCGGGGAAAGGCTTTTTTTTTTTTTTTTTACAGGTAATTAGTTAAAGGTCCCCCTCTCATTATTTTTAGGGTGTTGGGGGCAGGTAGGGGGTTAATTTTTTTTTTGGGGGGGGTGACTAGGGTTTGGGGACCCCTAGTTACCTGGGAGGGGGGGTTAACATTTTTTTTAGGGCCCCAACCCGCCACTCAGGGATGGGGGCCGGGAGGGAGGACAATAGGTCCCCCCCTATTGGTACTTAGGGACCCCACCCGCCACTCTGGGGTGGGGGGTGGAAGGGAGGGAGGACATTAGGTCCCCCTCCTTATTAGTATTTAGGGCCCCCACCCACCGCTCAAAGGTGGGGGCCAGTGGGGTGGACATTAGACAATTAGAATATCGTGCAAAAGTTTATTTATTTCAGTAATGCAACGTAAAAGGGGAAACTAATATATGAGATAGACGCATTACATGCAAAGCAAGATAGTTCAAGCTGTGATTTGTCATAAGTGCGATGATTATGGCTTACAGCTCATGAAAACCCCAAATCCACAATCTCAGTAAATTAGAATATTACATGCAATCAATAAAACAAGGAGTGTACATAGAACAAAATCGGATCACTGAAAAGTATAAGCATGCATATGGACTCAGTACTTGGTTTGGGCCCCTTTTGCAGCAATTACTGCCTCAATGCGGCGTGGCATGGAATCAGCCTGTGGCACTGCTGACGTGTTATGGAAGACCAGGATGCTTCAATAGTGGCCTTCAGCTCTTCTGCATTGTTCGATCTCATGTCTCTCATCTTTCTCTTGGCAATGCTCCATAGATTCTCTATGGGGTTCAGGTCAGGTTAGTTTGCTGGCCAATTAACCCCTTAAGGACACATGACATTTGTGACATGTCATGATTCCCTTTTATTCCAGAAGTTTGGTCCTTAAGGGGTTAAGCACAGTAATCCCACGGTAATTGAACCAGGTTTTGGTGCTTTTGGCATTGTGGGCAGGTGCCAAGTCCTCCTGGAAAATGAAGTCAGCATCCCCATAAAGCTTGTCTGCGGAAGGAAGCATGAAGTGCTCCAAAATCTCCTGGAAGACGGCTGCATTGACCCTGGACTTAATGAAGCACAGTGGACCAACACCAGCAGATGACATGGCTCCCCCAATCAACAAAGACTGTGGAAACTACACACTGGACTTAAAGTATCTTGCTGTGTGTGCCTCTCCATTCTTTCTCCAGACTCTCATCAGAAAAGAAGACTTTGGACTACTGAGCAACAGACCAGGTCTGTTTTTCTTTAGCCCAGGTAAGACGCTTCTGACGTTGTTTGTTGTTTAGGAGCGGCTTGACAAGAGGAATATGACATCTGAAGCCCATGTCCAGGATCCATCTGTGTGTGGTGGCTCTTGATGCACTGACTCCAGCCTCAGTCCACTCCTTGTGAAAGTCCCCAACACTTTTGATTGGCCTTTTCCTGACAATCCTCTCCAGGCTGCGGTCATCTTTGCTGCTTGTGCACCTTTTTCTTCCACACTTTTCCCTTCCACATAACTTTCTATTAATGTGCTTTGATACAGAACTTATGGAACATCCAACTTCCTTCGCAATTACCTTTTGAGACTTTTCCTCCTTATGGAGGGTGTCAATGATGGTTTTCTGCACAACTGTCTGGTCAGCAGTCTTCCCCATGATTGTGATTCCTACTGAGCCAGACTGAGAGACCATTTAAGGGTTCAGAAACCCTCTGCATGTGTTATGGCTTACTTAGCTGATTAGAGTGGGACACTGTGAGCCTAGAATATTGCACCTTTTCAGAATATTTTAATTTACTGAGATTGTGGATTTGGGGTTTTCATGAGCTGTAAGCCATAATCATCGCACTTATGACAAATCACAGCTTGAACTATCTTGCTTTGCATGTAATGCGTCTATCTCATATATAAGTTTCCCCTTTTACGTTGCATTACTGAAATAAATGAACTTTTGCACGATATTCTAATTTTTCGAGTATCACCTGTACAAGTTAAGATCCTTTAACTTTTCTTTTTTTTATCCAGCAAATCAATGAACAATTGAAGATTATGCTAGCGTTAGTGTACTTATAATCTTAATTTTAGTAATGACAGGAGGCGAGTATTTTGCATTAACTCTCTTTACTAACTCCACACAGCAGTAAAGAAAAGTGAGAAAACATTAACCAATCAAAAATGCAGTAGGAGGTACAATATTCACAGTGATGAGGCTCCTCCCCCTCTTTCAAAAGCGACATCAGAAAACAAATTTCCCTCGATAAATCCAAAGTCTTGTAACATGCACCAACGGGTGAACTTTCCAACTGAGCCGGTCTAGAGGCCGGAAGATGGTCCAAACGTGTCCATCCTGAGTGTGAGCTGCAATATCCTGAAGTTATGCTGAAAAAGAACGTGGAAAAGGTTAGGTACCGATCTTGCAACTGTTTGCAGTAATGAAATAGACCAGCTACAAATTCCACTGACAATGAGACATTCATAGCAGAATGACAGTAACAGATAACAGGGACATAAATAGACCTGGTACAAACATGATATCCTGCAGAGTGAGTAGGAAGATAGTAGAGGGGTGAAAGCCCACAGTGTAGGTATACTCACGTGAGAACGTATCCCTCGCGGGTGTGGTGGGTGGGAAAATACTCGCCTCCTGTCATTACTAAAATTAAGATTATAAGTACACTAATGCTAGCATAATCTTCAATTTTACAACATGACAGGAGGCTTCATATTTTGCATTTTTAACGCTGATGAAGGAGAGACGCGGCTGCCCCCGTGTTCGGGCGGAAATAGAAGGTCCAAAAGGTCGCTTCGCGTGACCAATCCGCGGCTCGTAGGATGTCTGCCAGCGATGCGCCCGCGGTGAAAGCCGACGAGGCCGCCGCACCGCGAACGGAGTGGGCGCCGAAGGTCTCCTCCACTCCTGCCAGAGACAGGATCCATCGCACCCATCTGGCGAGGGTGGTAGTGGAGACGGGTACGTGAGGTCTAACGTAAGACACCAATAGTTGGCCCGAAGATGAGACCCGAAGTGGGGATGTGATTTGTACGTATCGACGCAGAGTGGAGACCACGCAGAGCAGCGGTTCCGTAGGGAAAAAGGGGTAAAAAAAAAAAAAAAACGACGAGGAGTCCGATTTGGTACGACGTGACACTTGGAAGGTAACTCCCTCGGGGGAGACCGAAAAGGCGTCAATGTCGAAAGCCCGCACGTCCGAAACTCTGCGGAACGAGACCAAACACAGAAGAAGTGTTAGTTTGGCCGACAGTTGTCGGAGTGAAAGTCTGTCGTTATCTGGCCAGTCCCTAAGGAACTGGAGAACGACCTCCACATCCCATAACCGGGTGTATTTGGGTTTGGGAGGCCTCTGGAGTCTTATGCCCCTGAGAAGACGGCATACCAGAGGATCTTTCCCGACGGGCATCCCCCGGGTCGGAACTTGAGCCGCCGAAATCGCGGAGCGCACAACGTTGAGGGATCGGTAAGACCGTCCCATGGAGTACAGATGGGAGAGAAAGTTCAGGATGGCTGTTACAGGTGCCGTAAAGGGATCAAAGTTCCGTTCACTGCACCAAGCGGCCCAGGAATTCCATGCTGCAAGGTAGCATCGTCTGGTTCCTGGTGCCCATGAATCCCATAAGAGGTCTCGAGCCGTCTGCGATAGGTCCTCGGTTTGCCAGGCGCCCCTGAAAGAGTCCAAGCTACTAGAGTGAGGCGGTCTTCCAGAATGAGAGGATGGAGGTTCCCTCTCGGGTCTGTGAGGAGTGTCTGGTAGGACGGTATGAGGAGAGGGTCCCTGTAGGATGATACTAGGAGGTCTGGGAACCATGGTTGGCCCTGCCATAGGGGGGTGATGAGGAGCAGAGACCCGCGTTGCGTCTTCAGGTATTGTATCGTCCTTGCCACCATGGCGAATGGGGGAAAGGCATAAGCGCCCTTGAGCGGCCATGGTTGGAGAAAAGCATCTACTGCCTTGCTCTCCGGATCTGGTAGCCAGCTGAAATACTCGTCCGTCTGCCTGTTGTTGCGCGATGCGAAGAGGTCTAGGTGGAGGGGGCCCCTCCTGGCCGAGAGGCGCTGAAAAATCATTGGGTCCAGTCTCCAGTCGCTGCTGTCCCGCCAATGGCGAGAAAACCAGTCCGCTGTCAGGTTCGTCTCGCCCGGGAGATATTCTGCCATGAGGGAGATTTTCCGGGGTAGGCAAAACTGGAATATTTCCTTCGTGATCTCCGAAAGGAGTCTGGAACGGGCCCCTCCCAGTCTGTTGATGTAACGGACCGCTGAGACGTTGTCCATCCGGAGGAGGATGCAGGTCTTTCGCTAAGCTGCGGATTGCAAACGACCCCGCTAGGAGTTCCAGGCAGTTGATGTGGAGGTTGAGTTCCTGGGAAGTCCAAGTGCCTCCTGTTGAATTGCCTTGGCAGGTGGCGCCCCATCCCCAGAGGCTGGCGTCTGATTCCAGGACTATATCGGGCGTGTTTCCGAAGATGGCTCGGCCATTCCACGCTTCCATGCTGTCCAACCACCATCCGAGTTCGTCCTTGACTTCCTCCGTCACCGGAACAGTTTGGTCGTACGAAGGGTTCTGGCGGAGAAAGGAAGCCTTCAAGCGTTGCATCGCTCTGTAGTGGAGCGGGCCCGGGAATATCGCTTGGATAGATGCGGATAGTAAGCCCACGATCCGAGCCAAGTTGCGGAGTGGAATGGTGTGGCAGCGAATGGTTCTGTGTAGCTCCTTCTTGATGGCTGCGATCTTTGAGGTCGGGAGCCGTAGTGTGCCGGTCTTGGAGTCTATTTCGAAACCCAGAAATTGTATAGTCTGGGTTGGGGATACTTCTGACTTTTGGAAGTTCACCACGAAACCTAGGGATGTGAGGAGTCGGGTGGTATATCGTGTGTGTTGCGTTAGACTGTACCTGTCTGAGGAGAACAGTAGCAGGTCGTCCAGGTAGATAATGCACTGAATTCCTTGACTTCGTAGTCGAGACACTACTGGTTTCAGTAGTTTGGTGAAACACCACGGTGCTGAGCTGAGGCCGAAGGGGAGGCACGTGAATTGCCAGGGGCGACCTTGCCATCGGAACCTGAGGAATTGTCGGCAGGAAGCATGGACGGGTACCGAGAGGTAGGCGTCCTTGAGGTCCAGTCTTGTGAACCAGTCCCAGTCCTGGAGCAGATCTCGTAGAAGGTGGATGCCTTCCATCTTGAAATGTCTGTACAGTACGAAGGCATTGAGCCCCCTCAGGTTTATAACCGGCCGGAAATCTCCGGATTTTTTCTTCACTAGGAAAATGTTGCTGAAGAAACCGTTTTGGTCGTGAGCGGGTTCTATCGCTCCTTTTTCCTTGAGTTCCCGTAGTTCGCCATCGATTAAGTGGCGATCTTTCTTGGAACAGTGAATGGGGTGCGGAGGGGCGGTCTGGAACGGGGTTTCCACAAAATCTATGACGTAGCCCCGAACCGTCTGGAGGATCCATGCGTCCGTGGAGATGGCTGTCCAGTTCTGAAACGACAGAGCAATATGACCTGCAGTACATGGGGTAAGTGGACATTGAGACACTAAGGTGCTTACCTGTGGAGAAGCGTGCTCTGCCACGGTTACGGGGTCCTCTGCCTCTGTCGGCTCCTCGGGTGTAGGAGAAGGGCTGTCTGAAACCCACTTCTGGGTAGAAGGGTTGGGGTCTGTGCGAGCGGGGGCCAGAAGGCCAAAAACGGCTGGCTGCTCGGCCCCTGTAGCGGCCAGCCCGTCCAAAAACACCCCGACTGGGGTGGCCCCTGAAGACTCGCTTCATGGAAGTGTGAGCCTTATTTAGTGAGGTGAAAATGTTTACATGCTTGTTCAGTTCCTTGAGGAAGGCCTCCCCAAACAATTTGCCCTGTGCAAGCGGTCCCAACTCCTTGGTGCCCAATTCCACCAGCTTTCCGTCAATACGGAGCAGCGCTGCTTTACGCCTCTCAGAGGAGAGGGCTACATTGGTGTTGCCCACGAAACAGAAGCACCTCTGTGCCCATTCTCGTATATCATGTGCCCACTCTTTAACCATACTGGCATCAAATTCGTCAGCCCTTGTAAAAGCATCGTCAGCCAAAAACATGATGCGGGAAAGTGGGCCAATGGAGTCTAGGAGTTTGTCCTGAACTCCGTGGAATCCTTTTTCAACGCCTCTCCTGGGGTCACGGCCACCCCGAGACATGAATGTGTTCATGACCTGGTCGAATTCGGGAGTCTGAGCCACGTGGTCGGGAAGGGAAGGGCGAGGGCATTCAGAACGAAGTCGGTTGCGCACCGTTTTGTCCAGGGGTTTGCGGAGCCAACGATGCATAAATTTGGAGAGATGATCCGGGGGGGTCCAGTCCCCCGAACGCGGGTGTCGTATATTGCGAGGGTCGAATAGACGCTGGCCCGTGGGGTCCAGGATGGCTTCCCCTTCGTCATGGACTGGTGTGGGGTCATCCGGCAGTTGGGTGTCGTCCAAAAAGGTGCCCTGCAGGAGGCCCGTATGGGATCCTGTGTCCGAACCCCAGTCATTATCTTGTGAATCAGAATCTGCGGCCTGCCACTCGTCCAACACGGCCATGGAGCGTGTGTGTTCTTCCCCCTCATCCGAGGAGTAGTGGGCGGGAGTGGGTGGGACTGGCCTGTGGCGTTTGGCCGGTGCCTTGCCTTTGCCCGGGTTGTCAGCCCCTTTTTCGCCCTTCCAGTGGCGTTTGCTGGGCCGTGAGTCGGCCTGCGTATGGGATTCTGAAGCCTCAGAATCATAGTCATGGGCTTGGGCTTTTGTGACTTTTTTAGCCTGATCGGCAGTTGCCGTCATAACCCTGGATAACGCTTTCTCCATAGAGGCGGAGATGGCTTCCGCGATCATGGTTTGGAAATCCGCAGGGTTTTGGGGTGTATCCATAATGATAGGAGTAGGACCGCTGTAATAGAGAAAGCACAGTAAACGTTGGGCTAGGGGTCAATCCCAGTGAGTGAAAAGGTACCTGCAGTACCCAGGCAACCCCAGCAGGGTAGTGTGTATATGTATAATAACAATAAAATAGGAATAAGCACCCCGGCAGGGTGAGAATGATAAATCTGGCAGCAAAAGCACCAGTTTCCCCCAGCAGGGGATATTGGGTTTTTTCTGGGCCTCACCCAGTTATATATGCATGTACATATATAGGTGGCACAAAATCCACCTGATAGCAGCGGTAATTAGATGATAGGGCCTCACCCTGAATGTAGCAAAATGGCACATAAATACACTGGAGAGCCAGTAATGATAATCAGTATGGGGCCTCACCCCAATGCACAGTTTTATAACCTTATATGGGAAGGCTGACTGACCTGGGGACCCCTGCCTGATTGCGTCCGGTATTGAGGTGATCGGGTGCCGAAATGAAGAGACCGCAATGCTCCCAAGATGGCGGCCGTGGATCTCGCGAGACGCGAGATCCAAGATGGCCGACGGAGAAAAAACGGGAAGTAATTTCCCGCCGTGCGGTAGAAACAGCGTGGCTGTGAAGCCGCGAGGTGGGGAACGGGTGGAGGAGGGTGAGCGTTACCCTCAGTTAGGAGGAAAACGGTCGGTCCGACGGCGGGGAAAAGCCGGCGGACCGCGTGGGAACGAAAGGGGGGTAAGGGAAAAGCCCTGAGAAAGGGACAAAAGGAGAAAAAAAAACCCTCCCCAAGGGATAAAGTCCCAGAGAGTAAAACGTCTATAAGAAGATGTATAGAAACTACCTATGTAAATACAAATATACAGTACATAGAAATACAGTAACTACAAATGTAATATAGAGCAAATATAATAAGTAAAAGGGAAGAGCCAAAAACTCTGACCTGTCTGCTGATGGAGCAGTAAAGAAAGAGGCGGAGGAGCCTCATCACTGTGAATATTGTACCTCCTACTGCATTTTTGATTGGTTAATGTTTTCTCACTTTTCTTTACTGCTGTGTGGAGTTAGTAAAGAGAGTTAATGCAAAATATGAAGCCTCCTGTCATGTTGTAAAATTTAGTAGCCCTTCTCTGAACTCTCTCTAAAGTATCAATATCCTTCCAGAGATACAGTCTCCAGTACTGCGTACAATACTCCAAGTGAGGTCTCACCAGTGTTCTGTACAATGGCATGAGCACTTCCCTCTTTCTACTGCTAATACCTCTCCCTATACAACCAAGCATTCTGCTAGCATTTTCTGCTGCTCTATTACATTGTCTGCCTACCTTTACGTCATCTGAAATAATTACCCCTAAATACCACACTGTTAACTTTAATGAGCCCATATGATCTGGGTGCTTACAGTGTCCCTTTAAGATGAAGTGATTTGGGTGATATTAGTTAGTGGTCCTTGAAGATGCAGATTGCCAGCAAACCTTTTCTACAAAAATCATCATGCAAAACATGTAGTTAATTATTTATGCCAAAGGCTGGAAAATGTATAAACATGGTGTTAATTTCTAGAATATGCCTTTCGTAAAATCCCTTTGAAAATGTAACACTCTTGGGCTATATTCGTAGTTCTATCAAAAGCAGAGCTATTTCTCAACGCCTGGTTTCAGTCAAATCGAAAAGCTGATTTACACCCTTGTTTTAAGTTGTCTGTATGTTAACGTATGAGAAGTAGCTTGCAATTGATAACCATTCTACAATGAAGTAATTAATCAATTAGACAGGTGACTTATAAATATGTCAGTTTTGCATGATTAACCTCTCCATCACTGTATTCTGCTCTGTATTGCAGTCTGAAGGTTTTAATTTTAATCAATACATTGCTTGATATGATACCTGTCATATATTTTATCACCTTTATTGAATTTTTCAAATGGTAAAGAATTGCTGTTATTTATAGTGTGACATAATGTTCCCTTGCCCTGTACACACAGTATCAATGAATACATTATGATAAAACGATTTGAGGTGGACAGAAACAGGAAGTGAGAAGGGCCGTATTCAAATAAGCTGATTATCTAGAGATTAAAATGGGTAAGGCTTCTGTGCGAGGTCTGGCCTGATAATTGAGCAGCATCTAGTATAGGGTAAGAGGAGACAGATAATGAGAAGATGGCGTACCTTTCAAGTCACATATGTTGGATTTTCTCACTTTAACATTCAACAGTAATGGGTCAGACAGCGATGTGCACTATGCACAGCTTGTAGGGTCCTTACATTGCCTCAAAGCTACTCAATGTTCATTCCAGATATTAATGCTACCACTCATTCATATTCAAACAGTACACAAAACATGGACAGTTAGCAGTGCATTGGCTGATGAAAAATTGGTTCAGTTCAAGGCCTGGGTTGGACTGGGAATATAAAGCAGTTGTGTAACTACCTTTAGACCTGTTTTCAGATAATATGTTACCATAATGGCTTAGCAGCAGCAAAGTGTTGCTTGTAAACGTGAAAACATGACACATATGATTCAAAAACAAACCTATAAAATAATCTGAAACAGTGTTACACTGCTTGAGCCCAGCAACACCCCTCTCAACATGTTTACTCCTATCTATCTTAAAGAGAGACACCAAGTGAAGTGGTCTCAGTGAAGTGGTCCGGTTGCAGTGTCCCTCTCCCTTTTAACCCTGCAATGTAAAACCGTGCAGTTTTTCGATAAACTGCAATGTTTACAATGCAGGGTAAATCCACCTCAGTGGGTGTCTTCCGGACAGACACTACAGGCGCTTCTGCTGCCAGAGTAAAACTAGGTCACGTGATGCAGAACCTCATAGGAAAGTACTGAAGGGGAGGGGAATGCAACTTGAGACAGGGGCACTATAGCGTTAGCAATACAGATTCTACGGCCCTTTTCCAGCCCACATCACTACTTAAACTCAATACAGTTATTATGGGGGATGGAATCCCTGGGCGCCTTCTAACTTCTCTCAAACCATCATAGGCTGCCCATTGCGGGTAAAAAGACACCCGTAGACTCTAGCAAGATAATGGCTTCATTAAGATGAAATTGTTGTTTAGGTAAAGTGTTCCTTTGATTTTTAACCAACCTGTTAGTCCTTCACTCCCATATTACTCACCGTATTTCTTTTTACTAAAACTCTCTCCCTATGTGTCTTTTCTACCCATCTATATGCCCTCTTCCTATACTCCTCCCTCTTCTCATTGACGTCCCCTTCTTTACCTGCCAGGTAATGCCTAATCCTTCTTTCACGAATGCCATTTCCCTCATCAACAGTTTTTTCTTAATGTCCTATGAGGTCTTATTGGCTGGAGGGAACTAATCCCTAATCAAGCTGTGATTGTATTAGTCTTAGTAATAGTAATAGTTCTCAACATGGCTTCCTTGTGGCTCTCTGTAGTGCGAGCTTATGTGATCTGTTTAGAAATGTCTGCAGTATTAAGTAAAGTACAACTGAATCGCTGCTCTGTATGTTTCCAGCTCCTGCTGGCTTCCTAACACCCAGTAGCTGCAAGTTATAAGTAGTCACAAGGTTTTGCCTTGTAGCTAGCCAGCCCCGGCTCAATTTCCATTTGCCCTTTGTGAGAGAGCTAGTGAAAATTTTGAGCCCTGGTTTAATATGTGGGGATAGAATATATATTATGTGTGGAACTACTAATAGTGTACATAACATTTTATCTAAAGAGTTTGGGGTTTTTGACTGTCATAAGTATTCATGAAATAAACAGTGAGTAATAAGGCAGTGAGTAAACAATCATAACTAACAAAAACATTCTTCAAAAGGACACAATGGAAAAAAGTTAATATGAGTACACAACAGGTAAAATACAACAACAAATAAAACGGGGTATGTGCATGGGAGGATGGCCTCTGTAATGGACAAAAAGGAGTGTGCAAAAAAAAACATCTAATAAGATGAATGCTGCAAATGGCCATTGGAGGACCGCTGCTGTCCAGCAGGAGTCCAGGTAAGAGGGGAAACCATGGCAAAATGGTTTATCCCATTACCAGAAAACGGGGCCAGGGATAATAACCATTACTGCGGTCTGTTGTGGTTATGATGCTTAAAGTAACCCTGCAGGCTGTGGTTTGGTGTCCTTCACACACATCATTACCCTATTAACCTCTGTGATGTAATGTTTACCCCCTTACTGAAACAATGTTAATCCCTGGTTTCCTATATTTACGCATAAAAAACACCCACAAAATGACACAGACCAGGACTACAGTGTATTTTTATTTATAAATAATTACTTGGTATGCCAGGTAAAAACTGGGAAGAAATTGAGGATATATGGCTTAAAATCTGTAAAAGCTACACAAATGTTTTTGAGACATAAAACTGCGCAAACAAAAATAAAATTTGTACTCAGTTTTCATTTTAAAAGGAAACTATAGGCTAGGAATACAAAACTGTATTCCAAGCATTATAGTACCTTATAGTGCCCCCTCTCTCTTGCCCCTCTTCCCGCAGTGCAGAAACCCTTAATTCACTTACCAGAATACAGCACCGATGTCCCTTGTCACTGGGTCAGACTCCGCCTTCACTCCGCCTCCTGTGATCGCGTTTGGACAACCTGTAATTACTTGGCTACAAAGTGAACGGGGATTGATCAAATAAAATGTAATATATTCCTTTTAATGGCACAAATCAGCAAAAAGTAATGGTCTATTTTTTTTTCCAAGATTTAATTACATGTGGTGTAAAGTGGACAGAGCTTGAAAAACACCCAAAACACCCAAAACACCAAAAAGAAAATTATTTTTGCAGCACAAATCAGCACACACAAATGGTATATTTGTATTTGAGATTTTTTTTTTTTTTTTGTCAATCTTTGTTTTATTGAAGCATTGAGTCTCCTACTGCTTCATTTCATAGGTTAAAATAAGTCGCTTTATCCAAGTAGCTATGTAAATCAAATTATTAGATATGAACATTCAGGCTATGCCTAGCGCTGATAACGTGTAGGTTAACATGCGTGAGGATACAAACATTTTATGTAGTTTAACAGCGTAGATTCTTGATAAGGATCACAGGTAGTAGGCATGTGCATGGGGAAAATTTTCGGTTAGGCATTCCGAATTTCGGGACTTTCGCAATTTGGGACTTTGGCAATTCGGCACTTCAACACTTCGGCAACTTCGGAACTTTGGCACTTCGGCACTCTGACATTTTGGAAATTCGGCAACTTCGGCACTTTGGAATTTCGGAACTACGGAATTTCGGGACTTCAGCACGTCTCTTGCAGCTGCTTAGTAGATAACTCCCTAATTCCCACGGTATTAGGGAGTTATCTACCAAAAGGCTGAAAGACCTAAATTGGTCTTTCAGTCAAATTTACTAATACTAAGTAAAAATTACTTAGTATTAGTAATTTTGCCCCTACTCGCTATATCGCATGTCTATTAAACAGTGAGCAGCCTGTGGCCGGTCCCCCCTCCCGAGCCCTAACCTATTGCCCCCCCTAGCCCCCACCCCTGAGCAGCGGGTGGGGGCCCTAAAGTAAAATGGTGGGGGGGGACCTATTGTCCTCCCCCTGGCCCCCACCATTGAGCAGTGGGTGGGGGCACTAAATACTAATAAGGGGGGGGAACCCGCCGCTCAGGGGTGGGAGCCCTACGGTAAAATAAGGGGGGGGGGACATAATGTCCTCCCCCCTGGCCCCCACCCCTGAGCGGTGGGTGGGGGCTCTAAATACTAATAAGGACTCATAACACTCTGATTGGTTACTTAATACACCAATCAGATTGTTATGAGTCAAATTACACAGCGTAGGGAAATTCCAAAGAACTTTCCCACGCTGTGTAAAATGACACAGAGCACTGGATTTCAAGCCAACCAATCAGAGTGCTGTGACAAGTAAATGTAGAGACTTACCTGTCAGTATCTTCATTTACCTGTCAGAGCACTCAGAGTGCTATGAGCCTATTTGCAGGGCAGGGCAAGGCTTTATTCATATTCGGACCGAAACGAATTGCACATGTTTAACAAGTAGTATAAGTGTGAAGCGTGACTTGCATGAAGTAGTGATTTACGTACTTTGTGCAGTGTCTAAATGTCGTGGGATTGAAAGCAAGGCTATGGGCATCCACGAGTTCTGCCAGTGCAGCAGTGAGTTAGGTGGTGTGCAATAGGCGTAGTTTACGTGGTGATATTGCTACTCTCAATCTTTATGTGAAACCTTTCTAGTGGTGTAGTACCCTATTCCACAGAATGTACATTTAGAGCATATCTTAAGAAGTACATTTGATGTCATGAGAGAGGTATACTTGCATCTACTGTTTAAGTGGTATATTTGCATCTCATGGAAAAATAAAAGATGATGAGAGTCAAGATACCATTCATTTTCATGTAAATTATATGCCATGTCCCCCGGTTTTCAGTGGGTGAGGTGGATGGCCATTAAGTCCTTGCAGTGGGGACAGTTTAACCTATGCCTGTCCGAGGGTGTACAGAGTCACTTATCCAAGCTGGGTGTTGCAGGCTGTGCCGGTTTCCAGAGGGTTGGCAGGTGGGAATTGTCCCCCTGGTACCTCCGTTGAGGTGATCACTCTGAATTGTACCTGCTGCTGTTGTGGCTTTCTCTTATGGGAGTTCCCATGCCTTGCTCTGCGTGGTCGAGTGAAGTTGCGAACAGGCTGGAGGTGTCACTTTCTCCGGCGCCCTTTGCCAGCGTTCTTCAGCGTGGGGGTTGCTTGTCGACAGCTGGAGCTGGGTGATGACATTTTGGGTAGTTTCTCCACTGCTTCATGGGGCTGGGCTTGCTTCATTCTGTCGGCTAGTTTTATCCAGAAGGCAGCAAAGGTGCGTTCTAGTCGTGTCAGGATGTCGGGTACTTCTTTTCTGTTGCTTGCTTTGCACGTAGAGTCCGCCATTTTGCCCTGCTCTGGTGCTGCAGGCTTGCTGTGTGAGTTTGTCGCTTGCCTCCTGGGTAGCCGGGATAACCCCCACCGGTCGGGAGCGTCATGCCTCTGGCGAGAGGACGGGGAAAACGGCCGTCTCTCCTCTGTTCCAGTGCCCGCAGGCCGCGGTCATGGATCTCTGAACTCCGTGCACCGATTCTCTCGAGAGAGGTATCAGGAGGTTCAGTAGGGCACTCTGAGCTCAGGTAGAGTAGTCTCGTGTAGGTGAGAGCTTGTATTGCCGATTATTGAGCTATTATTCAAGCTCTGCGACCATGCATCTAGTCAGGAAGCTGGTCAGGCTCCGCCCCCCTGTATTTGAGATTTAATAACATGGGGGTGCGGAGTAGGGGCAGAATATTTAAATGTAATGCACAATATCTCCAAAACCAACTCGACACAAACATTTTGTTTTTGGCACAAATCGGCAAAAGTGCAGCACGTACAAATGGTATATATTTTTTTTAAATGAAATAAAATGGGGTGCAAAGTGGGCAAGGTTTGATAAAATATGCAATTGTTCCAAAACCAGCACAAACATTAGTTATTATGGCACAAATCAGCACAAACAAATTGTATATTTGCTCTCCATAAATGAAGTGTTCTGCTTTTGGCTATACATTGTACTAGCAAAATCACTAGCAAGTGTCTAGATTTCACGATAACTCTGTGGTAAAATCGCCTGCATGCAAGTTCTCTTACCATGCTTCAATGTGCTGTGGAGCACATGCGTTCCACGTGCTTCACCAATTGAACCACTATTCCTCTGAAGATGAAAACTGAAGGTTCTCACACAGAGGCAGCACACTCAGGATGGTTGTCGCCCACAAAGGTAGGCAAATAGCGGCACTGAATCCATTATGGAAATAAGTGTGTATGCTGAAAACATGATGAAGCTCCATCCAAGGTGGGTGAATAAACACTATTTTTGGACACTATATAGTACAAGTAAAAGATCTACAGAGAATAAAAATGTTGATGAAAGGTTCACGTTAATAACTTGGGAAGCAAAGTTGGAGGACTTTGGGGGGAGAGGGTGGGGGGGAAGGGGAGACATGGGGTCACATAATCTAAAATATAATGTTCAATATCTCCAAAACCAAACTGGCACCAACATTTGCTCTTGTGGCGCAAATCAGCACAAACAAATACATTTTTATTCATGTTTTAAAAACATGGGGTACCAGTTTCCCACTGTTACTCAAGTGTGGTTTCAACATGGTTTATTTTTTTTTACAATAATAAGCATGTGATTGCTTGTGCAATGTGTGTTTATTCACTAATTTCAATCCAAGACAGTGGCAGTAGCTATTGGTTCAATATCCGATTTTTACACCCAGGACATCAAGTATTCTTGATAAATAGATTGAGAAATAGATTGAGTTTAAACACTGCAAAATCTGTATGGTTTTTGCAGTTGTTAACACAGGTAATATCTCTGAAAACAACTTTAATCACACACAGGAGGCTCCTGCGGGGGCTAGATAGCTATTAACAGATCAGGAATTCTAAATTAAACAGTATGTGTAATAAAGGAAGGGTGAACATTAGATCTTTCTTTACAGGAAGTGTTTAGGAAGACTATGTAAGTCACATGCAGGGAGGTGTGACTAGGGCTGCATAAACAAGAGTGATTTAACTCCTAAATGGCTGTGAATTGAGCAGTGAGACTGCATGGGCAAGTACAATACATCAAAACTGCTGGTGTGTCCTTTTAAGTATGGAATTAGTCAAAACATATCATGAAAGTGATGTCAGATCTCTTATTACCGTAACTACCCATTGTAATCTGATTCTGGCAGGATCATTTGGTATTTGTGCAGTAAATCTATGTTGGCCTCTAAAGAAAGCATTACGATTTCCCCCAGTTGACAGAGTGTATGTCTGTGATAATATGTATTCCTCTGGTAGTATGTAACTGTTGGGCTGTATGCATTTCTGTCTGGGGTGAATGCCTGGGAATGACCCAGGCCGCCAATGATTTTGTAAGCAGCATTACATTATATGAAGCAGGTAGTTCAGATCATGCAAACATGTTATTGAAAGCAGCTGTTCTGCTACCTTGTAAACAGGGTGTGCTTGTTCCAACCATTAGTTACCTCCTGATATAGCAGTGTGGATGACTCACTCCATAATGGACTATATCCCACATTTTGTTTATTTTAGCTTATGGAAACGTATACCTCTCTAACCATCAGTGCTACACTGCAACATGTATTTTTAGAAGTGTTTCTAATTAAAGGGGAAATCCACACCTATCACAGCAGAAGCATTTTTATTGCTTTGACAAATCGAACGTTCGTTTAACAATGTAACAGAAATAACTCACGGTGCGTTCTGTTTGACACACTCACTGGGGGAATCACATCTGACTAATTGAAATGACGGCTGATTTAAAAAAAATAATTTATGACCCTAATATAACTCGCCTTTATGCCATCCTCCTCCCCCGAGAGATCCCGTGATGATCTAAAAGTTTATTTAATCACAGCCCTGGGCAGGAGGGGTTAGTACACCCAGCGTGCCTCCACAGCCAGAGAGCACCAACCAGCTGGTCTGGGAGGGGTGGGTCTGCCTGGCACTGTAAACTTCATCTGCATAGGAGGCAGGGACCAAGCTCCTGAAAGACAGCGCTGGTTAGGGAGGCCGATTCCATTGCTTTTTATTCCTCCTCTTGTGGATTGGGGATAAACTGCAGGCAGGAGGGGCTGAGAGCAGCTCCAGTAACACCCGGCTGCCGGATTTCAGTAGTATGGCATCAAGGAGAATGGAGACCAAGCCAGTGATAACGTGTCTGAAAACCCTGCTAATAATCTACTCTTTCGTCTTCTGGGTGAGTGAACTCTCTAGCTGTCTGGATCCCCTTTGATGGTGGCACAGAGGGCACCCGACATCTACCGTGCGATTGTTTATTATTGCAAAATAATAAGCTCTATTTACTGTGCTACCCGTCCGCCCACTTTACCCCCCCTCTCTCCAGATCTTCTGCGTCTGGTTAAACATGTTTACTGCGCAAAATAAGAGGGTTTGAGTGCTGTAGAGGTATGTCGGTGTATAGAGCAGGCACAGGGACATGTCAGACTATAGAGCAGGTATAGGGCTATTCATTCTGCTCAGAAACCGTAGGTAGAGGGCTATATATCATGGTTGAAGCTGGCACAGGGCTCTCTGTCAGTGTATGGAGCGGGCACAAGGCTATATATCATGGTATGGAATTGACACAGGGCTCTGTCAGTGTATGTAACAAGCACAGCGTTATATCAGGGTATGGAGCAGACACCGGGCTCTGTCAGTGTATGTATCAAGCACAGAGCTATATATCAGGGTATGGAACACAGGGCTCTCTCTGGCAGTGTATGGAGTGGGCACTAGGCTATATATCATGGGATGGAATTGACACAGGGCTCTGACAGTGTATGTAACAAGCACAGCGCTATATCAGTGTTTGGAGCAGACACAGGGCTTTGCCAGTGTATGGAGCAGGCACAGGGCTATATATCAGTGTTTGGAGCAGACACAGGGCTCTGCCAGTGTATGGAGCAGGCACAGGGCTATATATCAGTGTCTGGAGCAGACACAGGGCTATATATCAGTGTCTGGAGCAGACACAGGGCTATATATCAGTGTTTGGAGCAGACACAGGGCTATATATCAGTGTTTGGAGCAGGCACAAGGCTATATATCAGTGTTTGGAGCAGGCACAGGGCTATATATCAGGTTTTGGAGCAGGCACAGGGCTCTGTCAGTGTATGGAGCAGGCACAGGGCTATATATCAGTGTTTGGAGCAGGCACAGAGCTCTGTCAGTGTATGTATCAAGCACAGAGCTATATCAGGGTATGGAACACAGGGCTCTCTCTGTCAGTATATGGAGTGGGCACAGGGCTCTTCCAGTGTATGGAGTGGGCACGGGATTCTGTCAGAGCAGGTATAGGACTAGGTCATTGTGTAGAGCGGGAACAGGGCTATCTTAGTCTATACTGGCAGAGCAGATCTAAAGCTGTTTTAGTCTCAACTGCCTGAGTAGACGTATAGCTGTCAGTCCCCATTGCCAGAGTAAATGTACAGCTATGCTAGTCAAAACTGCCTTGGCAGGCATATAGGTCCATGTCAATCTCTGCTGCCCCAGGAGGAGTAGAACATACACTGAACAAGCACCACATAGTAATGTCATGCTAAACTGCCAGAGTAGGTATATAGATCTGTGTCAACGACTTCCTGAGCTGACCTAGAGAGATCAGCAACCACAGTGAGCACAGCCCTGCTCACATTTATAGGGCAGTATAACTCTCCACTGTCTATGTACAGACAGACCCTCCTGGGCAGGGATAGGAAGCGGTGTTGGCTTCCACTCTCAGAGTATCAATCTTATTAACGAAATGGAATTTTAAAAAAATCTCTGCCAGTGTTGATGATTTAGCCAGAAATTCATTCAAAGTGGCTAAATTCGTTTTTCTAAGTACATTGTATTCATTGGGGGTTATTTATCGAAGGGTTCTGAAAATAGGCAGGTTAGTTCCGTCATTATTTTTGTCGTGTTTATTGACAGAATCTAAAAAGTGACCGTTTTCTAAATAGCCATTGTCTGCATTTTTATTTTTTCTCTCTCAGAACTTTCAATTTCAGATGACCACAAACGTATTGTGACGGAAAAATGCCGTCACTTTTCTGTCCGAAAACAAACAGAAGTATACATAAAACCATTGGTCGAGTGAAAGCGAAATGGTGCATATTCAAAAATGAAAGGGAGCAAAAAAGCAACAGATTGGGGGGGGGGGGGAAACCACATATTTATTGTTCGAAATAGTCATAGAAATATGACTCTGATATATCTTCGCCATTGTGTATTTATGCAGTTATTCTCCTTTCCAGTGTGTTTTGTCTGTTAACTATTTGAGCGCCTGAAGTGTATCCTATGGAGCACACCCCTGTGGATCTGACACCCAAGGGTTCTCCTTGCAGTCACAGCTTGTGTATGGTCTGATTAATGCCATTAGGCACCTTGTTATTGCAGTGCATGTTTATTACAGAGAGACTTGTATGAATCCTCAAGCTAGACTGTGTTGCTAAGGACCTTTGGCTTATGAAGCAAAATGGGATTAGTAATGAGCATTTATATAGAATGCTGCAAAGGCTGGTATTCTATTTGAAAATGCAGTGTTTTCTCTCAATTCTCAAGACGCAAACACATACGAGATGGGCTGCTTTAAATCATCCCTATGAATCTAATTCCTGGGGTATTTTCAACAGAAAAACATAAATAAAAAATGTCTGGAACTTTTTCAAACTGAATTATTTATTTTTAAAAAATGGATTATGTTAATATCACTTGAATGTAGACCTCATGAAAAGAACGGACTAGATGGGTTTAATCCTCGTTGAGGTGCTTTTTTAACATTTTATTTTGTGCACTCCTATTGGTATATAATTTGGTAAAATATGAATACCCTGTGCATAATTATATTTGTTCATTGGATTGCAATTGCCTTTTACTTCACATATCAAGACTGTTGTTTGGGGGTCATATTGTGCCCCCCTCCCTCTGTTTAAATTCTGAAGCCATTTTATATTGAAAAATATAATATTTGCCGAGTATATAAAGCTTGAAATAGGATGTAAAATCAGGTTAGTGTATGTTTTGTATTGAAGGTGCCTGCGAAGAAATGGTTTCTCTGTAAGGCTGGTTGTGTGTGTGTGTGTGTGTGTGTGTGTGTGTGTGTGTGTGTGTGTGTGTGTGTGTGTGTGTGTGTTGTGCATTCAACACACCTTAAAATGAATTCAGCATTTTTTTTTGGATTTTTATGCAATGAAATAGCATTGGGGTTGTGCTCTGCTGTTTACATTTTGCACCTAAATTACAATAATTAGGGCTATAAAGACTTCTGCGTGATGGTTAAACATTGCTAACATTAGAAATTTTTTTTTTTATATATATATATATATATTAAGACTGTTATTGCCGATTATGTGGCGCACTTCTGGTATTCCACAAACTAGGAAGGTTTTCAAAATGATTACCTTTTTTTTACATGAATATTGTATTTTATGGGTGTCACCTGTTGTATGCTGTCTGTGCAACTCAAAGCAACACTGTCACTGCAGGGTATGTGAGTTTTGTGTGTGGTTTTTTTTGTTGTTGTTGTTTGTTATTATTTATTTTTTCTATATATTTTTTGGTTTTCTTTTTTTTTTTTCTATTCCTGTATTGTCTCTGGAAAATTTGTGTTTTTTTTTTTTTTTTTTTTTTTTTTTTTTATTTATTTATTTATTTTACAGGGGAAAATGGGGTCACACTTTTTTTTTATTTTTTTTTATTTTTTATTTTTTTATTTATTTTATTTTTTTCCCTTATGTGAGTGTGCACATAGCATCAGCAAAGTTCCTTTTAAAGTTGGAACAGTGTCCTTTGATGGTATCCAGCTTGGGTAAGTGTAGGTAGGAACACCTTGTTTTTGCCTCATGAATGTTGGCAAATTCAGAGAAATTACACTAAATTGGCTACTTTTGGTAACACTGAATATTCAGTTTTTGACTTATGTGATACTTGTTTGTCACATTTTGTGCATCTTAATGTAAAACATTTATTATCATGATATTGTGGACGAGCCATTTTGATTCAAAATCCATCTTCATTTTATTATTTTTTTAATTAAAAGGCTAAATTTGCGGCAACAAATTTTTTTGGGGGGACCAAACATTTGTCTACTTGTTGGTCAGGAAATCTCAAGCAATTACCTGGATACACATTTGTGGATTAATTTGTACGTCCTCTCCTTTTCACTTGTTCTATCTGTTGTGTGGAAGGAGAGGATATGACCGGCAGATCAGCTCATGGAAGGTCTACCAGTTCTCATTGCACGCCATCATGACTTAAAGAGGTGGTAGAAATATGACCTGTGTGGAGGAGCCATTTTGCTTCACTGCACTGCTTAAAAACCACATCCAGGGGTGCATGGAGATTGGGGAAAACGTTCTACCAACGCCTCATGCAGAGACTGCTTAATTTCTCACTATCAAAAGGGACAATGTTGTTGACCTGTCATCACCTCTTCCTACCCAACACGAAAAAGGGGGAGCAAAGAAGCAGGAGAAGTTCAATAATTAAACCATTTAATTGTTTGTGTATGTGCTTCAATGTATATATTTATGAATGAGTATTTGTTTGTCTGTCCATTTTAGGTGAATAACTGGCAATATCACTCCAGTGCTGTTATGGTGTTTGGAGTGATCCAAAACTGTATTTCTAACACTACAGTAACCCTCTGTCTCCATGCCCCCATCCCCTCGAGTTTTTAAACTTGCCTGATTTTCGGTGCGGAGATCCCTCGGCCCTCCTCCAGCAACATCAGAGCGATCCAGGAACCTAATGCGCTGCGAGTGCCGTGTGCGCATTAGGCCTTCCCCCTAGTAAACATTGACGGTTTTCTTTCCTATGGGGTTTTGCAAGAAGCTGGATATCTTCATGCACATCAGGACGTCCAGTGTCGTTTCACACAGATAAACTCTATTAACCCCTTAGAGACCAAACATCTGGAATAAAAGGGAATCATGACATGTCACACATGTCATGTGTCCTTAAGGGGTTAAATTGCTCGGGGACAGGATTTAGAGGCAGTCTCAACCCTGCAATGTAAATCTTTTCTCTAATACTGACAGATCCAACTGCGCAGAGGGCAGGCAGGAGGGAGAGCAGACCAGGAAAGGATCAAGGCCATTACGCCCATTATCCCCAGCCAGCAGAAGCCACTCTTCTGTACCTAAAACGTGGGAAACTAGAGGGTTACTTAAATTGTTACCTATTTGTGTGTCTGTATTTTTTGTGTATCTGTGTATATTTGTCAGTGTCTTGTATGTGTAAAAATGTGATGCCAAGGGGTACACAGGTGAAAAAAGGTTGGGAACCTCTGCTGTCGTCAATTCCCTGGTGTCTTGCTTCTGGTGGACAAAAGAATACAGAAATCTAGGACCGTTAGTTGACACCTTATGTCACTGTGACGTGTGGTGTGTTTTTTAAATCTTTCTTTTCTTTACTTCAAGCTTTTTCCTTCCTAGTTGTGATGAAATATAGTCTGTAATGACATCATGCTGTTTTGGGCCTTTTTCTGCTTTTCTGTATCCTTTGTTTTAGGCCTTTACCCATGATGATTGCATTTCTAACTCAAGATTTAATCTGTGTGAGCAACTGGCATGGCATTCAGAAGAGATTACCTTAAGTACTTGATGAGTTCATGCGAAGTGTATTCAGTTAAGGAAAATGCCCAATTGATATTTCTTTTATAAATTGACTAGTGCTGGGTTGAAAATGAGTCATGTGATCCAATTTTTATAAACTATTTGATATATTTCAGAATAATGATATACTTCTTTGTTTTCAGGAGTAGACAGGGAACTCTACAATGAACAAAGTTATTATGTAAACAAACTCCACCTTATTTGATTTCGTGAATTGTGTAATCTCAAATATTTATACTTCAGTTTATTATCCTTTTTCTTTAGTCTGTACTTTTGTTTGTTGTTAAGTAGCCCTGTGAAAGAATCCATGTTTTGAGTCTACATTTCATGTTTTATAAATAAATGGCACAGACACATTACTATTGTCAAAACACATTTCTAGGCGTCTTATGTTTAGTGACATCCGTTTTAATTCCCTCCATTAATTTTTATTCAGAAGTTGGTACCTAGTATGTAACATATCTGTTTTATGCATTGTGAGCCTTTTGTTTGTAGTACCCTTAAAGTTTGTTTTGAGTTAAAGATCCCATAATGCTTAGCCACCATAGAATGTGAATAGATAAAATATCAAAAGCAATCTTTAACTTCTATAAGAATGAAATGTATGTGTTTTGATCTGCCTTGACTCCCTTTTCATCTCTCCATCAATGAATTCCATGGGACTTGTAATGTGTTATGGTAGTGTTAGGTGTACCATGTAGTGGTTATGGTGTCTAGATTGATCCTATAACCTCACTCCTGGTCACATATACTCAGCTTTGTGGCTACTGTTATAATAACTTGTTGATATACAAGCGCACTAAGGATACTCCCAGGAAGTGCTGTGTTTGTGTTTTCAGAGATGTTCTCTTGTGCAAAATTTGTTTTCCCGATCCAAAATTTTGTGCACACTGAATGTTTGTGCGAATGTAAACCTGTTCCTTGATGATTGTGGTACAGCGCAGCCTCTCTCTCACGGTTTATAACACTAAATTACAGTATTCTGACATGATAATGTAGTATTAGTAGTTACACAACAGTATTATTGTAACGTCAGCCATTCAGACAGACAAGCCTCTCTGCTTACACAGTTATTACAGACATTAAATGGAGAGGAGGATAGATGTCATGTCACAAAGAATTTGCAAAATGAGCTCGTTGCCCAATAAATGGTGGTATATACATTTAATACTTTTTTTAAAAACAAAAAATTAATCTTGCTATGATGGAATATGTCCAAAGCACACAGAAGAAACACACAACCGAATTCAGCAGACACCAATAGCAAACATTTATATGGAGATTTTTCAAAAGGAGCTCTTTGCACAATAAATAGTGACATACATTAATGCTTCTTAAACACACACACACACACACACACACACACACACACACACACACACACTCTCTGAATGACCGACAATCTCACTGATTTGAAACACACACACCAGCAGACGCGCACACACTGAAACACATCACTTAATTGAAAAACTCAGCCTATAGATCAGGGAAGTGAGGCATGGGGGGGCAGCCTATAGATCAGGGAAGTGAGGCATGGGGGGGCAGCCTATAGATCATGGAAGTGAGGCATGGGGGGGCAGCCTATAGATCAGGGAAGTGAGGCATGGGCGGGGCAGCCTATAGATCAGGGAAGTGAGGCATGGGGGGGCAGCCTATAGATCAGGGAAGTGAGGCATGGGGGGGCAGCCTATAGATCAGGGAAGTGAGGCATGGGGGGCAGCTTTTTTTATTTTTTATTCAGAAGTTGATACCTAGTATGTAACATATCTCTGTTTATGCTTTGTGAGCCTTTTGTTTGATAGTACCCTTAAAGTTTTGTTTTGAGTTAAAGATCCCATAATGCTTAGCCACCATAGAATGTGAACAGATAAAATATCAAAAGCAATATTTAACCTCTATAAGAATGAAATGTATGTGTTTTGATCTGCCTTGACTCCCTTTTCAGCTCTCCATCAATGAATTCCATGGGACTTGTAATGTGTTATGCTAGTGTTATGTGTACCATGTAGTGGTTATGGTGTCTAGATTGATCCTATAACCTCACTCCTGGTCACATATACTCAGCTTTGTGGCTACTGTCACAATAAGTTGTTGATTTAAAAGCGCACTAAGGATACTCCCAGGAAGTGCTGGTGGTCCACAATTGCGAAGTCCGAATTTCCACTTCAAAATGACTGAATAAATGTTTAGCCCGGCATCTTATAATATTTGAATTGACTATCTCTTTAAACCCTTATTGATCTTCCCCCTTTGCCCACTGGTTTACAGTAGAGTTTGTTTTTATTTCATATAATCATACAGAGTCTAAAGTTAATCTGGCATGTAATTATATGTAATAGAACATATGAGACTGCACTCAAATATTTGATGTCAAGCAAAAATTATTTAATTTCCTATTTTCAATAAAGTATCTCTTTAAATTGATGGAGTGTACAATTATGGCAACGTATAATATATTGCAAAATGACTTATTACATTTTACTTATGTGATCACAACCATGTAACACCTAGGTGATATACCTGAACAACACAAGATAAATAAAATATCCCAAATCGAAACTGACTCGTAATAGTGTGAATAAACACTATATGGATGAGAGCCCTGTGTATAATCAACAATTGTTGTCTACTTAGCAGAAAAATAAAAAAAAGTTAAAAAAATTAAAATCTGAACTAAAAACAAAAAAAATGACATTTGGAAAAAAATGTATATACAGTCCCAGTGTGTACACACTAAAAGTAGCAAAAACAAGTATCAACTCGTGGATGGTATTGGATAGATATCACCACTCCTGTTGTTGAGGAAAGTCCTGGATGTAGTGAAGTTGCTTGGTGTAATGGCTTGTCCAAGCCTGTAGGTGAATAACCTTGCGTTCCATGTGGATCCCTATAGCTGCTCCACATCATCAGATGTGGTGGCCTGAGCCAATCACAGTGCTTGCCCATATGATTGGCTGAGACTGACAAGGAGGCAGATCAGGGGCAGAGCCAGCACAATTCAAACACAGCCCTGGCCAATCAGCATCTCCTCATAGATGTGAATTGAATCAATGAATCTCTATGAGGAAAGTTCAGTGTCTGAATGCAGAGGGAGGAGACACTGCATGTTTGGATGCATTTTAGGCAGGCATGACCCAGGAAGGATCTCTAACAGCCACCTGAGGAGTGGCCAGTGAAGTTATCACTAGGCTGTAATGTAAACCCTGCATTTTCTCTGAAAAGACAGTGTTTACAGCAAATAGCCTGAAGGTAATGATTCTACTCTCCAAAACAATAGCTGTAGTTGTTCTGGTGACTCTAGTGTCCCTTTAATTAGTAGCATCAGTGTGTCTTTTTATATACTAGAAGCAAATGGCACATAAACAAGTTTGGCTTCAAGTTAGTAAATACATTTGCCTATACAGTTCAACTTTATTTTTATTTTTTCCTTTAAGGACCACTCTAGGCACCCAGACCACTTCAGCTTAATGAAGTGGTCTGGGTGCCAGGTCCAGCTAGGGTTAACCCATTTTTAAATAAACATAGCAGTTTCAGAGAAACTGCTATGTTTATTAATGGGTTAAGCCTTCCCCCTAATCCTCTAGTGGCTGTCTCATTGACAGCCACTAGAGGCGCTTGCGTGCTTCTCACTGTGATTTTCACAGTGAGAGCACGCAAGCGTCCATAGGAAAGCATTATGAATGCTTTCCTATGTGACCGGCTGAAGGCGCGCGCAGCTTTTGCCGCGCGTGCGCATTCAGCCGACGGGGCGGAGAGAAGGAGGAGAGCTCTCCGCCCAGCGCTGGAAAAAGGTAAGTTTAACCCCTTTACCCCTTTCCAGAGCCGGGCACCCTCAGGGCACTATAGTGCCAGGAAAACGAGTATGTTTTCCTGGCACTATAGTGGTCCTTTAATACGAAATGGCCATTCGGAAATAAATTTCATTGCCATTCTTGAAATTCATTTCCTTTTTGTACACACCTAGAAAACACTGCTATAAAGAGCAGGTCTAAATATAAAATGTAAATTTGTAGACATTAAAAATAGGCTCTGCTTCTACTAGTTGTCGGTACTGTCAAAATTAGCTATATGTAAAATTTCTAACTTGATAAACTAGTCAAGGATTTTCTGTTATCACAATTGTTTATAACTGCTGGGATATAAAATTTTAAATATGAAACCTTGTATTAAAGGAATACAATTGCATTATTGTTCCTACTTCTCAACCCCCCCCCCCTCCCCCCCAACTTTTTGATGGTTAAAGAGCCACTATAGTAGCTCATTGAAGTGCTCTGTGAGCAATGTACCTGTCCCACTTACTCCTGCAATGTAAACCATTGCAGTTTTAGAGAAAACGAAGGCTGCCTCTAATGGCTGTCAGACAGCCAGTAGAGGCACTTCCTGGATGCTAATAGTCTCTAGGTTGCCTGACGCTGGATGCCCTTACGCTCTGCGTGAGGGCATCCAGCATTTGCAATATCCCCATAGAAAAAATTTAAGGAATGAAGGTGGAGCCAGCGCAGTGCCGAGAGACTGGCGCTGGAATCGGGTGACTTTTTAAAATTTATTTTAAATCCTTTAGCTGCTGGGGGAGGTGCCCTAGGGAGGTGGGGACCAGAGGGCACTGTAGTGTTGGGTGTTGACTTTAGAATCCCTTTAAGGGTTACCACTTTTTTTTGTTTTGTTAAAGGAGCACTATAGGGTCAGAACACAAACTTATTCCTGACCGTATAGTGTTAAAGAACTATATAGTCCTCCTAGCCCCATCTTGCCTCCCTAAATATAGTAAAACCTTCCTCTATTCAAGTCTATAGCTCCTGGCTCTGCCCCTGTCTGCCTATGAGCTACCTCTGTCTGCTGCCATCATTAGAAGTCTGAGCCAATCACAACTCTTGTAATGTAAAGGAGGCAGATCAGAGGCAAAGCCAGCACAAGTCAAACAGCCTTGGCCAATCAGAATCTTCTTTATAGAGATGAATTGAATCAGACCCTGAATGGCAGTGCTGCTTACTCTACAGCACTGCCCAAGGAAGCACCTCTAGCAGCCATCTTAGGCCAGTAAAGTTATCACTAGGCTGTAATGTAAACACTGCATTTTATCTGGAAAGACCGTGTTTACAGCAAAAAGCCTGAAGGGAATGATTACTCACCAGAACAAATGCAATAAGCTGTAGGTGTCCCTTTAACCTTACCTCTTCTCAGTACTTTGCATCAATGCTTTCCTATGTCTAAAAATGTTGGATATCTGAGTAAAACTTCGCTAGGAACCCTGAAGCTCCTCTGGAAGACAGCCACTAGAGGTGGCGTTAACCCTGTAGTGTAATCTTTTCAGTCTCTCAGGAGCTGCAAAGTTTTTCATGACAGGGTTAAACATACAGGGGTACTGCACTCCAATCACTTCAATGAAATGAAGTGTCTGGGTGCCTATGGTGTCCCTTTAAGCTTGCACATATACCCTTCTAACAATAAAACCTCTCATTTCTTTGTGTAGAATGTTATACTGTTCTATTTTTTTATACATATATACACACACACAACATACTTGAAAATGAGAGAAATCTCAATGTATCTTTCCTCAATGTATCTTTATGAAAAAAAAAATATTTTTGTATATGTGTGTATGTATATATATATATATATGTGTGTGTGTGTATATATGTGTATATATATGTGTGTATGTGTATATATATATATATATGTGTGTGTGTGTATATATATATATATATATATATATATATATATATATATATATATATATATATATATATATATATATATATATATGAGGCCTCCTCCTCTGTCATTGCTGATTTGTGAGGAACATAATGTGCATGCGCGCCAAGTGCATTAGGCCTGCCCCATAGAAAAGCATTGACTCAGTTGTCTACTATGGTGTTTTGACGTTGGATGTCCTCATGCAAGGCCTTTTTTTCTTCTTTGTCCAGTGAGCTTTAATGACCTCCTACATATTTCCTATGTCAAACACTTAGGAATGGCCTCATTAGTGTTTTCTGTTTTTTTTCTTCTGCCTCATTGTAATTTGAAGTCAAACTAGGCCTGTGATTTCACATGCTCTCTCCGGGGAACATGCATTGCTTATACTATATGAAACCCTTGCAGTTTGGCACATTTTTGGTTGATTTCCCTTTGTCTCATTGTGGTCTTTGCCTAATTTTTAGTTACTATTCAGTATCCCAGCCCTGTTCAGTATAGGTTTTTGTACAGACATTAAGCACATTAAAAACTATCCACATATCAGCCCAAAGCTAAAATTTGACATTAATCTGTGGGGAAACGTACTATAGAGAAGCAAATTAGTTGAAATGCATAATAATCATACTTGGCCTCATCTCATATTGATTAACAAGTGGTTTCTGCAAATTGTAGAAGTATGAGTTTATAGATCTGGTTATATGTGTTAGTATTTGTGGGTATTGGGTTTAACACTCTTATCATTTTTTTTGATAAATTGACTGGCCTGAATTGATCTTGTAGAATATTGCTTCCGCTGAGTAGGCACTGTCCCTAGATATTTGAGTTTTATGTTTCAGTTCTACAATAAGATCCACAAGTGCCCCAGGTACTGTGCTATGTCTGTGTGTTCTCCAGGGGATTGCAAATCCAACATCTTGGGTGTTTTATGGTATTTAATTTTACTCCTCTAGCTTTATTTTTCTGCCTTGGCTATAGGGAAAAATTCAAGCTTAAAAGTTTTGTGTTCCCCTGCATGAAAAAG